TAGACTTGAAACTTTGGAGAAAAGCGCAGATGTACTAGCTGATGCCACTAGTTTCGTTTTTGTGCAGTAAGTCCCATAGGGAGGCCTGTCAGCGCCAACCCGCCTGGCTCCCATGTATCGCAGCCTAAAGGTACTTAACGTGATGTATCTAGACAAACTTGGTACCGTTTTGAAGCGGATGAATGGGCCAACCAGCATGCAAATCGGCAGGGCGCTAGACCTGAAACTTTTGGAGAAAAGCGGAGATGTAGTAGCTGATGCCACTAGTTTCGTTTTTGTGCAGTAAGTCCCATAGGGAGGCCTGTCAGCGCCAACCCGCCTGGCTCCCATGTATCGCAGCCTAAAGGTACCTTAACGTGCATGTATCTGGACAAACTTGGTACCGTTTTGAAGCGGATGAATGGGCCAACCAGCATGCAAATCGGTAGGGCGCTAGACCTGAAACTTTTGGAGAAAAGCGGAGATGTAGTAGCTGATGCCACTAGTTTCGTTTTTGTGCAGTAAGTCCCTTAGGGAGGCCTGTCAGCGCCAACCCGCCTGGCTCCCATGTATCGCAGCCTAAAGGTACCTTAACGTAAATGGATCTGGACAAACTTGGTACCGTTTTAAAGCGGATGAATGGGCCAACCAGCATGCAAATCGGCAGGGCGCTAGACCTGAAACTTTTGGAGAAAAGCGAGATGTAGTAGCTGATGCCACTAGTTTCGTTTTTGTGCAGTAAGTCCCCTAGGGAGGCCTGTCAGCGCCAACCCGCCTGGCTCCCATGTATCGCAGCCTAAATGTACTTTAACATAGATAGATCTGGACAAACTTGGTACCGTTTTGAAGCGGATGAATGGGCCAACCAACATGCAAATCGGCAAGGGCCAGACTTGAAACTTTTGGAGAAAAGCGCAGATGTAGTAGCTGATGCCACTAGTTTCGTTTTTGTGCAGGAAGTCCCATAGGGAGGACTGTCAGCGCCAACCTGCCTGGCTCGAATGTATCGCAGCCTAAAGGTATCTTAACGTGCATGGATCTGGACAAACTTGGTACCGTTTTGAAGCGGATGAGTGGGCCAACCAGCATGCAAATGGGCAGGCGCTAGACCCGAAACTTTTGGAGAGAAGCGCAGATGTAGTAGCTGATGCCACTAGTTTCGTTTTTGTGCAGTAAGTCCCTTTGGGAGGCCTGTCAGCGCCAACCCGCCTGGCTCCCATGTATCGCAGCCTAAAGGTACCTTAACGTAGATGGATCTGGACAAACTTGGTACCGTTTTGAAGCGGATGAATGGGCCAACCAACATTCAAATCGGCAGGGCGGTAGACTTGAAGCTTCGGAGAAAAGCGGAGATGTAGTAGCTGATGCCACTAGTTTCGTTTTTGTGCAGTAAGTCCCATAGGGAGGCCTGTCAGCGCCAACCCGCCTGGCTCCCATGTATCGCAGCCTAAAGGTACCTTAACGTAGATGGATCTGGACAAACTTGGTACCGTTTTGAAGCGGATGAATGGGCAAACAGCATGCAAATCGGCAGGGCGCTAGACCTGAAACTTTTGGAGAAAAGCGGAGATGTAGTAGCTGATGCCACTAGTTTCGTTTTTGTGCAGTAAGTCCCATAGGGAGGCCTGTCAGCGCCAACCCGCCTGGCTCCCATGTATCGCAGCCTAAATGTACTTTAACATAGATGGATCTGGACAAACTTGGTACCGTTTTGAAGCGGATGAATGGGCCAACCAGCATGCAAATCGGCAGGGCGCTAGACTTGAAACTGTTTGAGAAAAGCGCAGATGTACTAGCTGATGCCACTAGTTTCGTTTTTGTGCAGTAAGTCCCATAGGGAGGCTTGTCAGCGCCAACCCGCCTTGCTCCCATGTATCGCAGGCTAAAGGTACCTTAACGTAAATGGATCTGGACAAACTTGGTACCGTTTTGAAGCGGATGAATGGGCCAACAAGCATGCAAATCGGCTGGGCGCTAGACCTGAAACTTTTGGAGAAAAGCGCAGATGTAGTAGCTGATGCCACTAGTTTCGTTTTTGTGCAGTAAGTCCCTTAGGAGGCCTGTCAGCGCCAACCCGCCTGGCTCCCATGTATCGCAGCCTAAAGGTATCTTAACTTAATGGATCTGGACAAACTTGGTACCGTTTTGAAGCAGATGAATGGGCCAACCAGCATGCAAATCGGCAGGGCGCTAGGCCTGAAACTTTTGGAGTAAATTGGAGATGTAGTAGCTGATGCCACTAGTTTCGTTTTTGTGCAGTAAGTCCCATAGGGAGGCCTGTCAGCGCAACCCGCCTGGCTCCCATGTATCGCAGCCTAAATGTACTTTAACATAGATAGATCTGGACAAACTTGGTACCGTTTTGAAGCGGATGAATGGGCCAACCAACATGCAAATCGGCAAGGCGCCAGACTTGAAACTTTTGGAGAAAAGCGGAGATGTAGTAGCTGATGCCACTAGCTTTCGTTTTTGTGCAGTAAGTCCCATGGTGAGGCCTATCAGCGCCAACCCGCCTGGCTCCCATGTATCGCAGCCTAAAGGTACCTTAACGTGCATGGATCTGGACAAACTTGGTACCGTTTTGAAGCGGTGAATGGGCCAAGCAGCATGCAAATCGGCAGGGCCCTAGACTTGAAACTTTGGAGAAAAGCGGAGATGTACTAGCTGATGCCACTAGTTTCGTTTTTGTGCAGTAAGTCCCATAGGGAGGCCTGTCAGCGCCAACCCGCCTGGCTCCCATGTATCGCAGGCTAAAGGTACCTTAACGTAAATGGATCTGGACAAACTTGGTACCGTTTTGAAGCGGATGAATGGGCCAACCAGCATGCAAATCGGCAGGGCGCTAGGCCTGAAACCTTTTGAGAAAAGCGCAGATGTATTAGCTGATGCCACTAGTTTCGTTTTTGTGCAGTAAGTCCCATAGGGAGGCCTGTCAGCGTCAACCCGCCTGGCTCCCATGTATCGCAGACTAAAGGTACCTTAACGTAATGGATCTGGACAAACTTGGTACCGTTTTGAAGCGGATGAATGGGCAAACCAGCATGCAAATCGGCAGGGCGCTAGACTGAAACTTGTGGAGAAAAGCGGAGATGTAGTAGCTGATGCCACTAGTTTCGTTTTTGTGCAGTAAGTCCCTTAGGGAGGCCTGTCAGCCACCCGCCTGGCTCCCATGTATCGCAGCGCAATGTACTTTAGCATAGATAGATCTGGACAAACTTGGTACCGTTTTGAAGCGGATGAATGGGCCAACCAACATGCAAATCGGCAAGGCGCCAGACTTGAAACTTTTGGAGAAAAGCGGAGATGTAGTAGCTGATGCCACTAGTTTCGTTTTATGCAGTAAGTCCCATGCGGAGGCCTATCAGCGGCAACCCGCCTGGCTCCCATGTATCGCAGCCTAAAGGTACCTTAACGTGCATGGATCTGGACAAATTGGTACCGTTTTGAAGCGGATGAATGGGCCAACCAGCATGCAAATCGGCAGGGCCCTAGACTTGAAACTGTTGGAGAAAAGCGGAGATGTAGTAGCTGATGCCACTAGTTTCGTTTTTGTGCAGTAAGTCCCATAGGGAGGCCTGTAGCGCCAACCCGCCTGGCTCCCATGTATCGCAGCCTAAAGGTACCTTAACGTAAATGGATCTGGACAAACTTGGTACCGTTTTGAAGCGGATGAATGGGCCAACCAGCATGCAAATCGGCAGGGCGCTAGGCCTTGAAACTTTTGAGAAAAGCGCAGATGTATTAGCTGCTGCCACTAGTTTCGTTTTTGTGCAGTAAGTCCCATAGGGAGGCCTGTCAGCGTCAACCCGCCTGGCTCCCATGTATCGCAGCCTAAAGGTACCTTAACGTGCATGGATCTGGACAAACTTGGTACCGTTTTGAAGCGGATGAATGGGCAAACCAGCATGCAAATCGGCAGGGCGCTAGACCTGAAACTGTAGGAGAAAAGCGCAGATGTAGTAGCTGATGCCACTAGTTTCGTTTTTGTGCAGTAAGTCCCATAGGGAGGCCTGTCAGCGCCAATCCGCCTGGCTCCCATGTATCGCAGCCTAAAGGTACCTTAACGTAAATGGATCTGGACAAACTTGGTACCGTTTTGAAGCGGATGAATGGGCCTACCAAGCATGAAAATCGGCAGGGCGCTAGACCTGAAATTTTTGGAGAAAAGCGCAGATGTAGTAGCTGATGCCACTAGTTTCGTTTTTGTGCAGTAAGTCCCATAGGGAGGCCTGTCAGCGCCAACCCGCCTGGCTCCCAATTATCGCAGCCTAAAGGTACCTTAACGTAGATGGATCTGGACAAACTTGGTATCGTTTTGAAGCGGATGAATGGGCCAACCAGCATGCAATTCGGGATGGCGCTAGACCTGAAACTTTCGGAGAAAGGCGCAGATGTAGTAGCTGATGCCACTAGTTTCGTTTTTGTGCAGTAAGTCCCCTAGGGAGGCCTGTCAGCGCCAACCCGCCTGGCTCCCATGTATCGCAGCCTAAAGGTACCTTAACGTGCATGGATCTGGACAAACTTGGTACCGTTTTGAAGCGTATGAATGGGCCAACCAGCATGCGAATCGGCAGGGCGCTATAGACCTAAAACCTTCGGAGAAAAGCGCAGATGTAGTAGCTGATGCCACTAGTTTTGTTGTTGTGCAGTATAAAGAGGGCACCCTATACATTGTACAACCACTGGTCAGCAAGCGGCCACAATTGCCCATTAAAACAAAAATACAACACTTTTTGTGGAGGCGATAACTCAAGAACAACATAATGCAGTGGATTGAAATTGCATCCGATTATTGACATTAAAATGTGACACAACCCGTTTGAAAATTGAAGTGAACCAAGGGAGAATACATTTAATACGATTAAAAAAAAATAGTCATAAGCGTTTAATTTAATCACGAAAACTTCATTCTGAATTTTAGTCTCTTTGACACTCTTTGTTCAGACGATAACTTCATTCCGAATTTTAGTCTCTATGGGGTGGAGCCACAGTATATGGCCACAGAAATGAACAGCGCCCTCTTGTGATGCTTTCCGCTTAATCACCGGAAGCGGGCGCCGGTAAAATATGCACACTTTTTGCACAGCCTAGTAGTAAACATTCATAATGTGTCACCCAATGTGAACATGAGAAAACCCCTATGTTAGAAATAATTCAGGGCATTGAACCGGTCTCGTCGTGAAAAATTTGTGGTGCTAAAAAAACATGTTTTGAGAAAGTCGACCGACCGAGGGGAAAAATGGCGGCAAGAATTTTGGTGGTGGATTTGTTTCCGGTGCAGTGACTTCAGTTGCTTTGTACAGCATGTATGTCTACGTACTTAAACCGTCGGAGCCTGGTCTTCAACCCCGTCTTCAACTAGAAAGAAGAAACAAAGGTATGTCTTGCATGCAGGCCTGAAAACATTCAGCTTTAGCCTAGAGTTAGGTAGTCCGAGTATTGTTCATGGCGCGGCCCCTAACGTGGCGCATTTTGATTTTTCGCTAGCGCCTTCCAAGTTCGTAGAATAAAAGAAATTAACTGAAATTTCACAGAAAGTGAAATTTCATCAAGTTCTAAACACTCCTGTTCATAAATCGCTACTTTATTTACCCATAACAAAGTTAGAAGAAAATTTTATTTTGGCGTGATTTTCCCATTTTATTTTCAAGTGCAAAGTGAACCCTTTGAAAATGCCCCGAAAAAATAAGAAAAACATTTTCTGACAAACGTCTTGCTGGGTATGTAAGTAGAGATAATAATTATTTATCAGAATTTATCAAGTTTACAGAAATTCTTAAATGTTAATTTGGAATTTTCGGAGATTTATTCAAGTGCGCTACGTTAGAGAACACTCCGCCATTTTGTGCCCGATTTCCGGACGCCACCGTTTTTGAATTTCGGATTAAATTTTATGAAACCAAAATTGTTCACAGAGGTTAAATAGCAAGCATTAATAAGGTAAAAACTAGTATTTTACTGCGTATTTTACGCTAATTTGAGGTTTGTCAACAAAGAAGTTTGGCAACACTACACCACACGAGGAAAGCCGGGTAAGCTTCGAACGGGTAGCCTATACGTCCGTTACTATAACTTGGACCCAACTTATCGCCTTTTTAACATTCGGACATGGTCTGGCGATAGTTAGTAGGGTCCAAGCTAATCCTTATGTGCCGAGCAACACAATTCTGTCATTGACCCAAAAACCCAATATATTGCCCAACAAAAACATCAGAATTCACCCTCAAAACGGCCTCCAAATTATTATATACGCCACTTGAGGTACAAGTAGACATCAATAATGAAGATGGTTGTACTGAAGTTTACTTACTTTTTACTGAAGTGTGCTAACTATGAAATCCCTTTTAACTTGCAGATACTCCTGTTCCACCCGAGCCAGTAGAGTCCAGAAACCTCTTGAAATACGGAGCCCCTGACAGAGGCCTGGATGTCCGTTACTATACCAACCACGCTTTGTCTTACGATCAGTCTAAGAAAATTCCACTCTGGGTTGCAGAGCACATCACTCAAGCTGACTTGGAAGGTAACAATTAAGCTTATTCTTTAATTTGCAGCACAAATTATAATTTTCACCAAAAATTCAGTTTATGTAGGATATCTTCTTTTTTTTGCCCTAACTTCCTTTTGAGGCATTTTTGCTAGGGTGCAACCTCAATACTGCAAAATCCTCCGACTGCCTCCGTGTAAGAATTGCATACAGCCTCAATCCTCCAAAAACCTCCGGTTGTTTCTGGAATGTGGTCCTTGGAGGAGTGACCAATTTCTCAATCTTGCAAAATCCTCCAGAAATCACAATATGGCATAAAATTACACAGTGAAAGTTATGGACTTAATTATACACACGCACATAGCCAGACAGAACCATTGTTAAGCCGAGTCAAAATGGGAAACGTACTAAAATTTTACTGTTGTATTACAAAAGGGGATGTGACAAACCTACCTGCATTTCTTGAAGCAATCACATAATGAGCAGCTAATGGTGTTATTAGAGGCATATGCTGTATCTAGTTAAAATAAAAAGAGTTTATTTATGACAACTAATTATTATACATGTAGGTCTACTCTTATGCCCTTGGCAAATATAGGGATATAAAATACGTAGTTTAAAGAAAAGAAATAAATAGGATGTCATTCCATGGAAATGTATTGTACAGTACTTCTAGAAAATTATCCTGCACTAGTTGAATTGACCTATCGCGGTAGAATGGCTTTAGAATCACGTCAACGCAGCTTGTGGAATATTGTCCAATTACATGCTACACAAATGGATGCGGAACACGCAAAATCTGAGACGAACAAAACTCAGCGTACACAAATTCCATAGGATTGTCTAAGGGGTGTGGCTAAATCGCAAACCGCGATAGGTCAATTGGTAGGGAGGCAAGTTGAGGTAAAGAGGCTTGCTTAGGGACACAGTGCTTAGCCAGCCGGATTTGAACCTCTCATGGTAGCCTAGTGTTAGGGCGCAGTTACTTGTCATGTAGGTTCGACTTGAACTTTTACTTGGTGTATTAATAGGCACAGAGAGTCTTCAGTGTTTAACTAACGCAGGTTAGTTTCATCTTGACTACGATAGGTCACATTTAGCCAATCGTGACGAACTACATTGGTAGTCAGGGAAATGATCCAGATTTTAACTGCAAAAACATGACGATTCTCTCCGGATAAATACTCAGGGTGAGTATAGGTGTCAATCTGTGAAGTCTGTGCTGGATAGTTACTTTGGAAGGATTTGTTAGAAAGTATGAAATTGTTTGAATTTCTTTTTTTTTTAATTCCAAGCCAAAAAATATGCATGCACTCATTTTCAAGGCTAATATTGAATATTAATTAATGCATTTGAGCATTGTAGAAACCATAGATGTACATATTTGGATTTGTAGGACTAATTTCTTAATTTAAACAGTTTTGTTGCTTCAGGAAAATTGCAGTTGACATAATCTTGTAGGGTAAACTTGAGGGAACCATAGAAAATCATTTAGAGAATCATATAGTTTAGGGAATTTTAACAATTAACAATATAGAAAAGGCATTTAAATACTAACTGAACACAATTTTGTTATAAATTACAGATTTGAGTATTTGTCGCAATCCGGTTCGTTAGTTAAAATGTCATACATGCGCGCACATCACTGATAACCAGCGCCCTTTTAGATAAATGCTCTAGTTGCGTTAATTTCCTGTTCCGTTTCTATTATGCTACACTGTGTGAAGTACGCCGGGTTTCATTGAGATAACGTCTCACTAACGAACCAGATTGGTTAACGTAGTACCTATATGGGGTGCTGTGGTCCAATGGTTACGGTGTTCGACTCGTGTGCCGTGGTACATGGGTTCGAATCCTGACCGTGGGAACATGGTGCTTGTGCTCTTGAGCAAGGCACTTTACCATTATTGCTTGTCCTTCGGATGGGACGTAAAGCCGTAGGTCCCGTGTGTTGTGTAATGCACGTTAAAGAACCCAGTAGCACTTATCGCTAAGAGAAGGGGTTTGCCCCGGTGTTTCTGGCAGTGGCTGCAATATGCGCCGCAGCACCTTGTAAACCCTTATAAGGTGCTACATAATGGGTCTCACATCTCTCATCAACTTGATTTTACCTTTCTTAATAATAGACATATCTCCAGCGCCTTGAGTACCTAATAGTTGGTAGATACGTGCGCTATATAAGACTCCATTATTATATATCTATGTATAACATTTTGTTTTCATATAAATTTAGACTTACTAATTAAGGTTCACTTTTTCTTTACATATCTACAGGCTTGGCTCATCGCAAACACAGTAACTTTGTAATGGACCCTAACATCCCACCACCTTTTGCATCTCAAAACAGCGATTACAAGAGGAGTGGATGGTCTAGAGGTCACATGGCACCTGCTGGAGATAGTAAATACAGTCAGGTATGCTAATATGAATATTCACATCTAGGCTAATATGAATATTCATATCAGGTGGGCTTATTATGATTATCCTATGAGAGGAGTGGATGGTCTAGAGGTCACATGGCACCTGCTGGAGATAATAAATACAGTCAAGTATGCTAATATGAATATTCACATCTAGGCTGATATGAGTATCCATATCAGGTGAGCTCATTATGATTATCCTATGAGAGGAGTGGTGGTTTAGAGGTCACATGGCACCTGCTGGAGATAATAAATACAGTCAGGTATGCTAATATGAATATTCACATCTAGGCTGATATGAATATTCATATCAGGTGGGCTCATTATGATTATCCTATGAGAGGAGAGGGTGGTCTCGAGTTAGCACGGCACCTGCTGAAGATAATAAATACAGTCAAGTATGCTAATATGAATATTCACATCTAGGCTGATATGAATATTCATATCAGGTGGGCTCATTATGATTATTCTATGATAGGAGTGGATGGTCTAGAGGTCACATGGCACCTGCTGGAGATAAAAATACAGTCAGGTATGCTAATATGAATATTCATATCTAGGCTGATATGAATATTCATATCAGGTGGGCTCATTATGATTATCCTATGAGAGGAGTGAGGTCACATGGCACCTGCTGAAGATAATAAACACAGTCAGGTATGCTAATGAATATTCAGCTGATTTAAATATTCAGATTTGGTTGGCTTATATCCTGTGAGAGGAGTGAGGTCTAAGGGCCACATGGCACCTGCTGGAGATAATAAACTAACTTATGCTAATATCAATATTCATATCCAGTTGATTTGAATATTCATATTTGGTTGGCTGATGTGATTATCCTATGAGAGGAGTGGATGGTCAAATGGCTCCTGCTGGAGATAATATACTCACTTATGCTAATATGAATATTCATATCCAGCTGATTTGAACATTCATATTTGTTGGCTGATATAGTTATTCCTATAAGAGGAGTAAATGGTTTAAGGGCCAACTGACAACTTCTAGAAATAATAAACACAGTTGGGTAGGCTTATATGAACATTCATATCCGAAAGGCTGATATGAATATTCATAGAAAGGTTGATGACTTTTTGTCTGCAGGTGGCCATGGATGAATCCTTCTACTTGTCCAACATCGTCCCCCAGGACATTGACAATAACAGGGACTTCTGGAATCGTCTGGAGGTCTACTGTCGCAACCTGGTGAAGACTTACAAGGATGTCTGGGTCACCACCGGACCCCTAGTCTTACCAAACACCGAGGAAGGGGGCAAGAAATATGTCAAGTATGAGGTGAGGGAGGGAGAAGGTCAAGGAAGGGTCAGATTGGGATGTTGCCTCAAGAGTGTCCAACTGGTGTCAAAACATGCATGTAAATTTGTTTTTTTTTTTTGCAAGCTTTCATTTAACTCTGAGCAAGGCAAGGGGCTGGATTTTTGAGAAATAAAACCCTTTCCACAATAAATTGTGAGTGAGAAATGACAATTTCTTTCTGACTGTGCTCATCATGTGTTATATGCAGGTCATTGGGAAACACGATGTTGCCGTGCCAACGCATCTTTACAAGCTCATCACCGTCGTTCTCTCCCAAGAGGATGATGACAAGCAACAGACCGACAACTCCAGCATGAATGCGACAGTTGCAGTCGGAGCTTTTGTCGTACCCAACCAACACATCCCTCAAGAACGTCCCCTCAAAGATTTCCAGGTTCCTCTGGAGAACCTGACAGAGAGTTCCGGACTCCGGTTCCTCTCGAATCTCGGTGCCGGTATCAAGATCCGGGACCTCTGTGAAGTGGACTCTTGCAGCCTGATGTCCCAGCAGAAACATCAGCTGTACTTCATCGGCAGACGTCTTGAGAATGCCACGACCATACACAGACTAGAAGAGAGCTGGCGGGAATGGAAAAGAGGAACCTCGAACCGGATGAGTATCTACTTAAGGCATATCAACGGAAGAAGGAGGAACTTGAGGAGCAGACAAAAGAGAAGCAAAGCAAGTCAGAGTCGAGATGAAGCATGTCTGAAGCAAAGTCTGCAAGCCCTTAAATACTTTTAAAAAATTATTTTTTTAATCACATAGAAGTTTGGGTGGTTTTATGCATCTTGTTGCTGTATCAAAAGATCCAGCCTGATGTCTCCTGAATGACTGAGTTATACTGACTGACTGAGCGACCTTTAGCTCAACTCGGCAACTCCAGTCTTGTTGCAGGGGAGATGAGTTTAGATATTGTTTTTATCTGCAAGACTTGTTCTTCTTCACTTAATATGTCAAAGAACATTTTTAAAGTAAACTTTTAACTTGCCATTTTGAGGAGTAAAACTGTGACAGGTTTCCTTTGAAGATGATATAAGAATACGGATTGAAACATTGTGTGTGGATCCTGGTTCTCCTGAGAATCACCTAATTCCTCTTGAGAGATTAAATCTTTTTATGTTTTAAATATTGATTCAATATTTTCTAACTTCAAATGCTGCCTGCCCAGGATAGCAGACATGTAGGCATTTGACACATTGTTCTCTACCTTGCATCGTAACATTTTATAATTAAAAAGCAGGAATTTTATGGAAGCAGCTGTCTCAAACCATTCTCGTTTTTTTTATAGGTCATTCTATACATTTGGGGTCCACTTTTTCTCTGTCCCTTTTAAATCTGGCATCTATGATTGTATGACTCTGATGCACTACTTAATGCAGTCATCCTCCAAGAGTGATTATGAATCTAGCAAACTACCAACCCAACATATAAAAAAAAAATTTTTGAAGTCACTCTAAATTAAAACCGTAAATACCCTAACCCACCTCAATCCTCCAAAATCCTCCGCAGTTTTGGAGTATTGAGGATGAATGGTGTTTGAGAAGAAACATGGATTTTGGAGGATTTAAGATGAATGCACTTTGAGAGACGGGACTGTCTTGACGATTTTGAAGGATTGAGGCATGGGTGTCCTTCACTTTGAATATAAGTGCAAAATTTTGGAGGATTGAGGAAGGTTTCTAGGAAAAAGGGGCTATTTTTTTAAAATAGTACATGTGCTTGAATGGCAAATTACAAAAAAAAGTACCGAAGTAATAACCGTAACGGACGGTTGCGCACCTATGTTCCGACACCCTTATTATGTTCCGACTGCTCATTTCACTAACCCTTACCCTACGCCCTAAACAGGCTAGCACAATCTTATGGGCGGGTTGTCGGAACATAGGGGTGTCGGAACATAAAGCAGTCACCTAACCAACAGGACAAATATCGAACTATGGATCCACATTTTTTAGAATGACCATTTTGCGAGTCTCTCTTGTTGCTGGCATACACACGCCTACACCTGAAGTTTATGTACAGGCGCCCTATCCGCTTGGTTAATAGAAGTCGCTGGTTGTTAGTTGTGTGTGCGTAAATTTATTCATCAGGATGTTTTTATTTGTCTGCTGTCAATTTGTCTGCAAATCAATTGGTCTTTTCCAGAGCATTAGGTGGGGGATTTGCGTGTTGTCGCCCAATCGCAACGAAAACCCTGCGACTGTTGCCAACAACGACGGGATTAAGGAAATCGATTTCTTGCAACGTTTCTAAAGAGCGCCTTGGAATTGCGCCAAAAAGTAATCCCTCAATGGTAGACCAATGGTCACGCATTGACGTATGACGCATGCGCAGCTGATTGTATATCGTCCGTCCATTTAGAAGGCATTTCGACTGTAGTTAGATTTTAAAGGGCAAGGACCGACGTAGAAAATAACGACCGTTGACTGTAATTGTATCATCGATTTAAGGATGCAAAAACCTTTGACGTCCTGCTATTAACAAACAAGAATCATCGCCAGATTGACCGTGGGCTTTTTCAAGATGGCTAGAATTTTAACATTTTAGCACCTTCACCGATAACCCAGAGGCGTAGCAATGTCATTTTTTAGGGGGGGGGGGGCATACAGTTCGTAAAAAGGGCACTCGCACATTCGTGTTGAAATGTAGACAAGGGTGTTTTTCTCCGGACACTTGGCCTCCGTAAAATAAAGGGGGGGGGGGGGGCCGCGGGTACCATCTTCCAATGGGGGCACTGTTCAAACCGGACGAAAATACATATACTGCCCTTTCAAAATGGTTTAAAATTTTCCATCAGGCTTCTTTACGCACTTGATAATTTATAAATAAATGCATTCATTTCACGAAGTTTCTCTAGCTCTTTTTGCTACAAATATTTCTCCGCGAAAAAGTGGGAGGACGGGGACTTTATAATATGTTTCTGCATGGCTAATCTTCTAGACACAGTGAGATATCGATGTCAAAACATGTTAACTCTAAAACCCTTCTAACTCAAAGTAAAAACTTATTCCCGTCAATTGTTGTTGAATAGAAAATCCATCGGATAACTCAAACTCTGCTTATAACTCTAAATTTGAGCCAATTCCCCTGAGACTTGACTTATGAGATTCCAATGTACATGCATGTATAGTAACTTTCTAGGAAGTAACCAAACAAAATAGGGTTGTCTTAAATTTTGTGTGCGAAATTTGCATCTGGACAACTGAAAGTGGAAAAAAAGAGTCATTGGGAAAGCGTTTACGTGTATTCTGTAAGAGTGAAGAGAATAATCGTCATTTTGGGACCAAGTCTGGCAGTGTTGCAGATATAACAAAACGGAATGCCATTCCTTTCAGGTAATTGCAGTCATTATCAACCAACCGTCAGTCTGTAATAATGAGGTTGTTAAAGAGATGGAGAGCCATACTTCTACTAGAATTGCTCAATTTCCGTAAAATATCACACGGGACACGCAGAAAGCTCTCGACGCTGATTGCTCCCATATTGCTAATGCATCTCAACTCGTTACCATAACAACAACGCAGAATGTATAATTGGTGTCGTAAGTTAGGCAAGCATAAAATTATAATCCCATCCACCAAAAGTTCCGGGAGTACGTGGATGGTGTTAAGTTGAAAAAATTGTATATGGTTTGAATAAAGTACATTGTGTATAAGTCAAATTGGACCTCTTTTAAAAATACTTTCGCGTATTTTGGGGTTTTTGTGTGTGCAACATTTTGTTGACTCAAGGTCATGTTGGTAGGCCTAGTTTGACGCAGTCTTTCCTATTTACTGGGCGAGTCAAAAAGAAAGTGACCTGGATTAATGTTTTTTTCCTTAAAAAGCAATTACATTTGACACCCCAACGAAGCATATATTAACCGAGCATGTTCGTCCACTCATTTGAAAAAAGGAACTACTGAAATTGATCCATGCTCCGAGAGGTTTTGCATATTTTTACAAAAAAAGAATCTGTTTTTACTGCTGTCCATAGAATACCATGTCAAGGTAATGAGCTGGGTGAATACGCACAGGCATTCAGATACAAATGAGATGTTTATATTTGTTGTCAAGACTGAACATTATTTTTACTGTCAGATTTTGTGTCTTGAATATAAGAAACTATTTTTCTCAAATAATGATGTGATTTTTGTCTGTTTTCCTGTGCAAACTTGTGTTCATTCGTGAAGGCAGGTAAACGCCCTTGTTTCATTTTTACACTGCAACAACTCAAACCAGGCGAGAGCAGTGGCGTAGCACGGTCATTTTTATTGGGGAGGGGGGGGGTGGTAAAAATGTTCGAAAAGGGCACTTGCACACCCGTGGTGGAATGTTGACAGGTTTTTTTCTTCGGACACTTGGCTTCCATAAAATCAAAAAGTGGGGGGGTGGGGGGGGGGGGGGGGGGGGGGGGGGCTGGTACCATCTGTCCATGGGGGCGCTGTTCAAAACCAACGATTATGCACATAAAGGGCCAATATAAATTCAGAAAAAGCACCAAAACGGCAGATGACAAAAAAGGCACCACTTCTTTTCTTAAAAGGGCACTTCGTACAAAAAAAGGGCACTCTTTACAAATTATTGGGGGGGGGGTAAGCCGTTGAAAAAGGGCATTTGAATGGAAAAAGGCAGTCTTTACAAAATATTGGGGGGTGGGGTGGTAAATACCCCCTTACCCCCCCCCCCCCCCCGCTGGCTACGCCTATGGAGAGGTTCTCTAGCTTATTAAACAAGTACAGAAATATTGTTAGAAAATCTAATGAAAAACAGACGATCGTAATATATCCGGAATCTCAAGCGCATAAGAAGAGAAAGAAAACCCAAACTCTCTTCTTTTTTGAAGGTTTATTTACACACAAAAAACCACAGCACAAAAAGGCGGGAAAGAGTTAATTTGGGGATCACTGGGGGATCCAATTGAAAAAGATGTCTAAAACGGATTTCTGTTGTGACCACTTATTTCAGTACTATTCTTTAATGGAAAATCATGTACAAATCCTTTTCAAATTCTTTTATTTTGTCAATTTATCTTCAATTAAAAAATAATTATAACAAAATATTACGAAGTTCCGTTTTACTTTTTTGGACTGTTGCATTCTCCGTCAATAGTAGTTTTTTTTAAAAATCTTGTCTTCGTAAGCCAGAATTGTGAACTTGTGGAATGCATCCGAAATGTATTTTTTAAAATGAAGAATATGTATTACATGTATACCCCTTCCGATGCTTACCTCTTAGACTTTTTTTTTTTTTTTTTTTTTACATAGAACGTAATTAAATAAAAGGATTGGGTATCTGACCCACACTCTTCAAACAACTTTTATTAAAAGTAGTAATTTTAAAAACAGGCGCACAAAATGTGCAAAAAGAATTTTCTGTCGGTGAAAGCAGTGACATGATGATTTTTGACTCAAAACGAGACTCGCCCTCCATCGACAAAAATTTAACCTAACTCAAGTTATCCATGGAACTAAATTACATGTAATTTTTTCTCCTAACATTAGTGAAAAAGCCTTTTGAATGAAAGACACGTGTAATACTACATGTGGAGTGATTATATTTTTGTCACGGAATCAAGCATCCTATCCCATGTTAGCCTGTAGGAATACGCTCATGCCATCATTTAGTTGCGACGCTGGCCTCCCAAAGGCTAGGAATCCTGTGGGTTATCAGCGGCAACGTTCATCGTCCTCTCCAAGTGGCGTTGACCATTAGCAGAATGAAGAAACCAAAAAAGTAGTGCGAAAATAGTTCCGGTAGATATGTACACGGCAGCGGGAGACTCCGAAAGATATTAAAATGCAAATTTACATCTCGACCGTTGGAACAAGTCGTGTCTAATTTATCAGCTATCTTTAGGAGTCCTCTGCATCCTTTACAAGAGTTCAGATTTTGTAGAAAACATCGGAGGTTTATTCACGTGCAATCGAACCGCCAGCGGGGCCTTCCCATTCCTGCGATGCAAAAAAAGGGGAAATATAATAAATACACCTGTACATCGTGCCTTTGTTGGGAGTGTGGCCCAATGGTTAGGGTTTGTTACTTATAATAAGTGGGTCAGAAGTTCGAATACAGCTGATGGCCATTATGTTGTGTCCTTGGAAAAGCCACTTCATCCCCACTTGCCTCTCTCCACCCAGGAGTATAAATTGGTACCGGCATTAGCTGGGGAGTAACCTGGGATGGACTAGCATCTCATCCAGGGGAGTAGAAATATTCGCAGTCGTTTCATGCCAATGAAACCGGAGATAAACGCCGGCCTGATGGGCCACATTGGTTCGTGACCAACTTTACTACACCGTGCATTACATTATCGGCTCTATTATGGGCTATTACATTATAGTAGCGTAATGCACACCCCATAGAGGGCGCTCTTGAAATAATGACAATTTTTGGCAATAAGCAGAGGAACTTGCTTCCAATGCGGAATTTTTTTATACAGTGGAATGTGCAAAATGTTGCCTATCCAAAAACGCATATACCATCACTCTATCTAATGAAGGATGCCATTGTGTCCATCCATTTCTTTTATTCCCCCTAGGAATTGCGTGGCTTTCGTTCAAAATAAAACCCGTGCTTTGGTGGGAATCGAACCTCCCCAATTCATTTTTAGTTAAACTGGTTTACCTGTGCTTCCTGAACGAGAGCGCATAATGTGCAGAACCAAATCATTAGCAAGTCTTTTGTGTAGTCTCCCTGAAAGCAAAAAAAAAAGAGGAGAAAATGTCAATCACTAAAAAACGATAACCATAAAAATGATTTCAGAGGACTAATCTTGCTCCAAATCATCACAGTGGTTCGGGCACAATAGCCTATGTGATTGAGGTCACATAATTAACAAAGCTGGTTCTCTTTCTACTTTTCGATTGAAGTAGTATTTGAAACGGCATGGCAGACAAAAACATATTGCTATTTTCAAAGATTCGGTTCTTAATACCTATCTGTGATACGACAAAGAATAATAATGATGGGTGGGGCAACATTGGGGGGGGGGCAATAAAAACTAAACTTATCTTATTAAGGAGGCACAAAAAAATAGTCAAACGCTATGTGAAAATACAATCGGAGTTAACTATTACGTTTAAAAAAGGGTAACAGGCGCGAACTAATTAAAACATTTTTGTGTATATAAAAGTTAGGAATAGTCGGTGTAAACGTGGCAAATTATAAGTGCAAAATCGATTTGTTGTGTGTCGTTCCTGACCTCAGTACACGGTCTCTGAGAGATCTTAGGTTTAGTGAAAGAGCGGTTACGTAATAGTTTCCTTCAACCGTTCGATATTCAAATTCGATTTTAGACCCAACGACAATGTTGACTTTGAAAAACAAGATCCTTTCCTTGGAGATGTACCGCACTTTTGTGTTTTATGCCGAATTTACCTGTTTTTAATTATTGAGCTTGTATTTCCTTTCGGTTCAAATTGTAAAGGATACAGTCAATCACCAATTTTATACAATGCAAAAAAGCGGGGAAATTGTGCACTTCCACCGCTTCGGGAACACGAGTAAAAACTTTACGAGGAAATTAATTGAAATCTTTATAATTTTTTGAAGAAGGAAGAAATTTTGTACATTGTAACTATGTTGTTTTATGCTAGAACTAGGTAACTGAATGTCAATGACTTGGAAATTGTAAGGTTAACATGTTTAGGAACTTCTGCCCAAATTTAATGAACTGATCGAATTTTTTAGTTCACCAATAGCCTACTCCAAAACTTAAATGTGACTAAAATTTCAAATTCAATACATGTAGTTAGGCCCCCTATAATGTTTTTAATTTTGTAGCAGGTAAAGGGAGAGTAGATTGACTTACATCGATGCCTTTGTTTTCTCTCGTCATCCCGCGGATTTTCGTCATGGACCACAGACCCACGCAGCCCAGCACGGAGAAGATACCGTACTTCATGCAATCCTCCCCGTTCTTCTCGGCGACCTTACCGGCCGTGTAGCACGGCGCGATGTAGGTAATCGCGCACAGACCGATGTTGCTGAAGCAACCGAAGAGACCATTCGACCATTCGCCCATCTTGGAGGATTTATGTGAAATCGGGGAGGCTAAAAAATATCCCTGCGGAGTGGTTAACTGTAAGTTGCTTTCGCTGTGGACTTGCTGTAACACAATGTGCGTTTCTGAATCGAAGTTAACTTATGAGCGCGAATTCTTTTCGGCATACGCGAATACACGCATACACTATGGTCTCTAGGCTTACTGCAGTATCTACAGTGAAGGGCGTATCTATAGCGACACCCCTCTGTATGTACACGTTGCCGTTGGGCACGGTGCTCGGCAATCATGTCTTGTTGTGGAGATGCTTCCTAACAATCACGCTGATTGGCCATTCAGTTCATTTGTTATGCAAAACCAAAAAAAATTGCTTCAGTGAGAGTGAATAGTGTTATCGCCACTGAATTACAAATAATGCAGTGGTTTCTGAATCAACGAGTAGCCTTCGTGCACGAACGTACGGGATATTATCAGCCCTGACTGTGGAGAAGATGAAATTTCTGATTTCTGAAGATGCTTATTTTACCTGCATAATTCGAAATGCCCCTCAAGAACTGCAGTTTTATGTCAAGTTTATGAAGTGTACATTCTGAAGAAAACATTTATACCATATCCCATTACTTTAAGTTTGAAACGTGTAACATCCTCATTTTAGAAACTTCATAATATTCAAGTATAGTTTAGTGATAGGGCCTATCTCCGTAATTTAAAGCAAGGATATTTTTCCTGAGAATTTTTTTTGGAACTATACACAGAAACAAATATCTGAGAAATTTGAAGAAAGCAAAATCAGCTTAAGATCCAGAAGCAAGCAATATCACGTGAGCAAAACTTGTCTGTGCTCATGAAGAAATTATCAATGTGGAAGCTTTGCGAAATTGTCCAAGAAATAGATAGACGAGCGAACAGTACTATTATGGGCTTGAGCAACCTGAGTTTCATTGCTGTGATGGGAGAAGGCATAAAGTACAACTTATGTGAAATGTCTTACGGTTCTGTGAGTTTGTAGAAGGCTTTGATTTGTATTTGTTCATCATGATAAGATGTTGCTTGTTGTCATGTTATTGTCTCCTCATCTGTTGGCCAAACATTCTTCACCTCGGAGACGATGATGCCACATGCAGAGACAAATATTGACTGAACAAATACAAATTGCAACGCTGGGTTACCAGCCAAAATATCATGTGGTTTATGCTGTTTATCACTAGTACTCTTTACATTTCTACCCTTAAAGTACATTGTAATTCAGAAACAAGTAGGGCAACTTCAGCCCTTAATCCTCTTTTGCAATCGTACTTCATGAGGCCAGTTTCTTTTTTTGTTTACTGAACTTACTACGTGTTTACGTCGCGTCGTGTGTGGATACGCTCACACAAGCAAAGTTCCAGGCTTAGGCAGTTGCAGACTTCAACTAGAAAACACTCAGAGAGCGCAAACCCCCGCCAAGGCTAAACAATTCCCCGCCATATTGTATACTATAACATTAATGGTGAATTAAGAAGAATCCTTTAAAAAAAATCCCGGATCCAGACCCAGATCCAGATCACTTCCAAAATATAATCGATTTGTACTTGTACCAAGGGCATTTTCATGCAAATCCGTCCACAACACTTTGGGTTATCTTGTTAACAGACAAACCAACCAACCAACCAACAAACTAACCAAATCCGATGAAAACATAGCCTCCTTGGTGGAGGTTATGATAATGAATCCAAATTGAAGCAAAATTAAAGAAAAAATAGATTGACACATTACTAGATTCTACGAACTTGCAATTTTAAAGATACTACTCTACGATTGTTTGATTCGTTCGTATAGTGTGGAGTCCACCGTTGATAGTGTCGCGGTCCAGATTGATGAAGCCTTTGTAGCCTGGGGCGGGGGACGGAGGACTTGGTACGAGGTGATGATGTTATCAGTAATAAAGTTTGAAGAGCATAGAATCCACCATACCCGACCACTGTTTAATATGTTGAGAGAAGATGTACGAAATAGACTTCGTGCCATTTCTTTAGACATTATTTCACGTGTGCAACGTAGGCGCATTTGGACTGGTTGTTTCACGCGCTAGTCAATTTTCTTGTCTTGCAAGTTTAAAGGGAATATACATCATTTGCTTTTGCTGTAATTTTCAGAAATGGATGGAATTGGGGGGTTGGAAATATAAAGCAAATATAGTTACACTGACTTTTGGAGGTTTATGGTTCGAAAATGCTATAAAAACCAAGAAAAACGATCATTTTCCTGTAGTCGGGTTCCCTGACTCCATATAAGAAGAAACAGAGCCGTTTACATACATTGGGGAATTGTAAGGTCAGGGAACCAGTCAGGCTGGCTCGTACCCGTTCATAGGTTTGTTATCGATTGCAAACAAGTGCAATGGTCAATTGGGGCCAGTATTTGAAAAAAAAGCCAGATGTTTCCAACGCTGATCGGCCGATCAGCGTTGGAAATTGATACAAAAATACCACTTTTCTTGAAAATGACAGTATACCAGGCGCCATAATTTTACAGGATGCTTTAGACTGTCATTTACCAACATCCTATTAAGGTATTTCGCAAAAACGTGGTAGTTTTATTTTTCGATGTTTGCAAATGTTGTATATTCCCTTTAAATAAATGCTGTAACTTGTTGTAGTTTCTCTTTATTCTAGTATATCGCTTACGAAATCAAGAGTTAAGCGTGTTATAAAATGCATGGGAAAAAGACATGTAGTTCAAACCACGCGGGAAGTTCTTCAGTTATCTTATCAAAATTCCTACTTTGGATCACTCGAATTTCGTAGCTCGAAAGTAGGCCTATTCTGTATCTCCTGAATGAAATATGATATACGATAATCAAGATTGGGCGGGATTAAAATACAAAAATCTATAATCCTGAAAAGATTTCAGCTCGAATTCTCATTGTCTTTCTGCTACAGACTTCCACGATAATTACATTAAGTCTGGGAAACCGTTCAATATCCGACGACAGATGATCCTTTTTAAGAATGAAAACCCGTCTCCTTTCTAGTTTGTCAGTTAGGCAGGAAAAAAATTGATCGATGTACGCCTACACAGTTCATTGAAACATGGTAATCTGCGCAACTCAGTAGGATTTGGCGCTTTGTCCGTACAATGGGGGAATTTGAATAGCGGTACCACACGGGGAGCGAGTGGAATAAAGATGGGCGCTGGAAAGGTTCTGGTGCATGAAGTTGCCGCCACAATACAATACAGTGAATGAAAAGTTTACACTGGGAAGCCAAAGGCAGAGTCGCCCGGGCAACGATCGTATAGCGCCGCGCGCATGCGCAGCAGTAGGCAAGCCTTCAATGCTGTGACCGTGCCGGTGTCACGGTCTCACCTCTCCGGCGTGCTAGCTTCTCCAAGTTGGACATTTTGCTTCAACACGCATGTACAAAATTGCGCAGTATAGTGCTCACTTTCGCCAACTTTATTTGTGTGCTGAGTTCTTTGGGTTGTACTTGTGCACTTTTGTATACGTCACAGTGTACCATCGAGTCCATGCAGACCTAGCGCGCAATTAACTATTAACCAACATCCTAATAATAACCAAAAAGACTTGAAGGATGCACATTTATTTTAAACCGTGGTTGAACGTGGTTACAAATTGGACATGCATGTGATGGACCACGACCGAGCAAGGAACGGTTCTTAATTATTCCTTAACGCACACACAATGACGATGGGAACACAACTTCAGAACGCTTGCAATATGACTTGACCCACAGGAAGTGTTACATAACGCATTCTTGGGTGTCCCTCACAGCCCGAGGAAAAGTTAGCACAGCGGACACATGAGCATGAATTGTGCTCATGTAACGCGCACTGTAACGTGCTCAATTACCCGCCAAATCCACCCGGAGAAGCTAGCACGCCGGAGAAGTGAGACCGTGACACCGGCAAATTTAGACTGTCAGAAAAACGCGGAGCCAGCACCCAGTGCGGGCTCGGTACGATTATGACAACCGTATAGGCTACTCGGCACAGGTATTGACCGTTATTGCCATTTGATAAAGAATTCGCAGGGTTTTTTTTAGGTGAAAATAAGCCCTACTACAAACTTTCCGGTACAGTGATGATTGGATACAAGGCATGTGATTCACGATGGCTTTTAAATTGCCTCAAAAGTGGGTGGGGCCAGGCTGGATAGGAAGGGGGGATGAGGAAAAGGGGAAAGTATAATATAATTGGTCGTCCATTCTAAATTACACGGTTAAATCTGAATTATAAACCGCACATAAACGCATTTTTTTGTAAGCATCTTTTTATTGGCAATCTCAACATCAGTACTAAAATCTTTAAAAAATGAAATTACGACTTAGTAAGAACTGGTTACAGCTATTTAGTACAATTAAAGTCTCAAAACAATGCCCCAATAAATCGCTGAAATGAAATTATGTATCTTTCATACATACGGTATATAATAATAAAATGTGTTTTAAGTGTTAGATATTGTGTAACTATGTATTACGATGGATTATGTAAGATGCAACAAAATAGAATACTTTTTTTCAGTTGTCAAATTGCTTTTGCAGCTGAAATACCAAGCCTCTTCGCCATGGACATAATACACGTAATGAAAGTAAATATATAAAGTCAACATTTGCATTACGTTAATCAAAATTTAATAAAGTTGTAAGCTGTATGTATAGCGCTTTTCATCGTATCAACAATAGTAAAGCGATTTACAAAATATTATTTTTACCCGTTCAACAGGCCGAGAGACCACGCGGCAGCCGATATCAGCACACATTCTGTCCTCTACCCTCACAGGTACCCATACATATACTCCTGGGTAGCCTTTCGTCAAGGTCATCGTGACTTAACTTGCCGGCATTAGACAAAGCGGCGAAGCGCACTTTTTTGATAAAGTGATATTAATAAGCTATGCAATCAAGTAATTGAGCTCAATGGTACCAATCGTGACAACAATACTGCTGCCATTTTTTTTTAAATTGCTATACTAAAACTCTTGCCTGAAGTCAAAAGAGGGCGCCAAAGCTTGAAATGGTTCCGTCAACCGTTAATAAAAATATAAGATGAAAGACGTACCTCCATTTTTTACCAAAAAAAATTCATGTTTTTGGAAACTCATTAGTCATTTTAAAGTATTACATCAGCAAACTGTGAAATATACTGAACTCTAAAAAATAGTTGCTCAATATTGGGTAAAATTGCTACCTTTTCGAGAGTAAAAAGGGAACATGGTCGTCAACTTGTGTACTTTTTTTTACACAACAGCTAAAGTGCAGAAAAGTACCCATTTCAGTGTAACTTTTACCCATAATTGTGTTACGTGTTTGCACAACAAAGTTGGGTAAAAAAGTTTACCCATGTGACGACCATGTTCCCTTTTTACTCAATTATTGGGTAAACTTTACCCAACCCTCCTTTTACCCAAGTGTTGTGTCAGTTTCTTACCCAGATATTGGGTTCTAAATTTTACCCTGCACAATTGGGTTCTAAATTTACCCATCACTTGGGTTGTTTTTTAATTAGTTGTTGTGTACCTTTGTTATTGATCCTTGCGGTTTTATTCAACTTTGAACTCTGCAATGTGAATTGCATGCTATAGAGACAGCAATCGCGAGGGATTTCAATAACTGAGTCCTGGGTTGGAAAGTCAGTAAAATGAATAAGATGATATTTCCCCAAATATGGTGCTGATGCATAAGGACTATTACGAGGAACGTGGGCTAAATGATGGGCAGGGGTGTTAGGATTTCCCTCAATCAACTCATTCAAAAACAATTTCCCAAATGTCGGTCACTTTACTCCGTGTTTCTAGATCTGAGAACACTCACTATACGGTACATGAAACGTATGCATCACGTGCATGGAATCGTGGTTGGCTGAGTCGTGACGTCCAAGTTGCACATAAATGTCCAAAAAATAAGCATGTTACTTCTCTAATCTCCCCGATATTAATCCTCATACATCAGCATCCCATTTGGAGGAAACAACACTGAAATTCATTTCACTGACTTACCTGGAACAAAGAAATCACGTCATCAAAATCCCCACATTGTTGAAGGTCTCACAAGCGGCGGCCATTTTGTACATGAGTGATGACGCGTGCACAATATTGGGTAAACGTTGTCACGTGCGTCAGTTTACCCCACACAGTGGTAACATTTTACTAATGTAATGGTAAATTCTACTCTTCAACGTGTACAATGAAATAATTGTTACACAGCGGTGGGGTAAATCCAGTTTCTTTAACCCATCACTTGGGTAATAACACCATGATTTGAACTCTTTGCCTGTGCTGCAGGGACTTGTAGTCAATGTTGGGTACTATTTTACTCTTTTCATGTGTAGCACATTTGACACAAGTAGGAGGTACAAGCGAAATTTTCATTTTGCTCAATATTGGGCAGAAATGACGCAATTTTTTTACACAACAGTTTTACACAACATAAATTTACACTTCTTTTTTAGAGTGTAGTAAGAACAATAACTTGCTTTGACAATTACATGTATGGATTAATATAGGGGGTTAATATGTATGAAAGAAAAATGTTCAAAAAATTTTCGCTTATTGGTCGCTTTTGTCGTGTACCCGATTGAAGGGTACAATCAATCTTTATCAGTTTGTAACTCTCATGGTTTCAGAAAGCTTTGTTTAACTTTCTCTAGCTTTCTAGGCCTAATTTAGTTCACGAAGAACATATAGCTCAAATAGTCTGGGAACCGACAATAAACTGCATAATCAAGGAACAATATACATAGAAGAACACGCGTAACTAACACTTTGTTTTAACATTAACTGGTACCTTCGGCTGGCGGTATACGGTGTCCATACTTACGGCTACTTCCCAAATATTGGGTTGATATAGGTAGACGTCGATGGCTTGTAGATCGGGTTTTGCGCCTGAAGAAAAATGAAAACAAAGTATCACTTAGGAAGACTGTACATACGCATGATTAATCCATACAGAACATCTCTTTGTTAAATCTCGAGAAGAAATCTTTTAAATTAAATTGTGAGAGCAAATCTCGAAATTCCAGACACCGTACACATGCACAAGAACTGCGCGCACAACTTTTTTCATCATGCAGCTGTAAAATGCCAACAAAATAGTATATTATCAACGGAGACTTATCAGCACCATTGCTGTCGCGCCCCAACGCTTTGCAGGTGGGTCTCCCTATCTGAAGTGCACCAGACGCTACGGGTTTGTGCACCGACAACCAGTCGAGTATGCACGCGCGCGCTAAATTCAATACGCGCGTGTGAAGTGCGCGCACGCACCATGCCTCTTTTTATTGGCTGTCGTGCGTTAACCAGACTTACGCTGCCTTATGTACATTTCCTTCATTATCATTATGAATTTGCATTTCAAGTGAATGAATCTTCGTTTCCATCCCTTACCTGACCCCAGACTGCCGACTTCTGCTCTTTCTCGAAGCGTGCAAACTCCCTCCTATCATGCAAGAAAGTAGCCGCTTTTAGGAGTGCCAGGAGTACCACGCCTATCAGCACGATGACGACTACTATGCTGATAATGAGGATTAATATCTCGCTACCTGAAGCATCTTTCTCAACAACGGGGCCATCGCCGTCGTTTCCGCCACTCCCAGAATCACCTCCGCACTCTGTTTGGTTAAAAAAGGTAAGTGCAATAAACACCTCCACAATACTTTTTGTAAATCCTACTATGCAACTCCTGTGATATTTTGTTAGCTAGAATAATTATAAAAACGGAAGAACATTTTTTCCCAGCTTGTTGTAGGGCCTACCTCCTGGTTCTACCAAATGAACTAGTATGGTGCCATTGCTGAGTGTCTCGTACACGAAGCTGTACGTCTGGGAGCAGTTGCTGTGACCTTCGGGTACAGGGAACTCGCACAGACTGGATCCGTTTACTGTAGGATTAAAAATGTACAATGTCAAAATCACATTGCAACATCAAAGCGCTTTCAAAAAACATTTTCGAAAAATGTATCTCTTTACAAAGCTGCTGACTCCTTCCTGCGATTTCTTTAAATCTTACGCGAAATGGGTTCCAGAAAACCTGTGCAATACCTATCCTTCAAGAGCAAATCTTGCACAAACCAGACGCAGGTCTACCAAATGCGTCAATTTTAATGGCCACAAAACACTCATTTCTGTACACAAACTCATTAACAGTACCGTAATGAAATACTCAAAGGCACCAACTACAATGGAATAAAACAGCACGACCTACTGGTTGGCAAGTCTGTCTCGATCGCCACAGCCACGTTGCACTTGTTACAATCCGCGGGTGAGATATCTACACTGTAGACCTGACACTCCACACAGGGTCGGTACGACGAACATTTGCCAATACAAGTCTACGAAGAAAATTATTAACAAAATCAAATTAGTTATACCAAACTCAAATCAGCGTATACCAGAATCCAATTAGTTTGTACCAAAATCCAATCAATTTTTACCAAAGTCCAATCAGTTCATACCAAAACCCAATCAGTCTATACCATAATCCAGTCAGTTTATACCAAAATCAAATCAGTTTTTACCAGAATTAAATCAGTTTATATCAAACTCTTATCAGTTCATACCAAAATCCAATCATTTCATACCAAAACCCAATCAGTTTATACCGAAATCCAGTCAGTTTATACCAAAATCCAATCAGTTCATGCCAAAATCCAATCACTTTATACCAAAATCAAATCAGTTTTTACCAGAATTAAATCAGTTTATATCAAACTTATATCAGTTTATACCAAAATCCAATCAGCTCATACCAAAATCTAGTCAGTTAGTACCAAAATCAATCAGTTCATGCCAAAATCCAATCAGTTTTTACCAAATTATATCAGTTTATATCGAACTGCAATCAGTTTATACCAAAATCCAGTCAGTTTATACCAAAATCCAGTCAGTTTATACCAAAGTTAAATCAGTTTATATCAAACTGAATCAGTTTATACCAACATCAAATCAGAAACACCAAAATTAAAGCCGTTTATATCAAGCTAAATTACGTTTATACCAAACAAAATACAGTTTACATAAAAATGACAGTTACGCTAAACTAATCAATACTCACGTGGACACGTCTGTAAGAACAAGATCTCACGCACGCACAAGTGATAGAGATGTTTGATTTTTTTTCAAAAGGAATGACAAACATACATCGAAGTGTATGTGTTCGTGCAAACTGGGGTTTCATGTTTGATGACGAGACACATCTTAGTTGAGTAAAGGTGACTTGATGAAAAATATAAGGCAATGCAAGAACAACATTTTTGTGTGTGTGTCAAAAGCATATTAGAGGGAAAATGACTTCACAGGAGGATGTTAATGGGAGAAAAGATACTCCAAGACACCAACCTTACAGACTTCACACGTTTCGCCTTGGAATGGCGACTCACAGGTACACTTGTTGCAGATGCACCGTCCTCTCCCATTACACATAAGCTGAAACAAAGCATCAAACATGACGTTTTGTAAAGACAAAATACTGACAATTTTGAGTGAATAAGTACTTCTCCTTGAGGAGAATTCGTAAGAGAATCATGCCCGGAAGGAGATTCTGATACTAGGCAAGGAGAAAACATGCAATGTTCCAAAATCCTTCCCGATTTAACGAAAAATCCTAACACTTCAAGCCGGCTCTATCAGGGAAACCAGGCGCGGAACCAGTCAACCAGAGAAGATACCAGTCAACCAGCAAGGTACCAGTCAACCAGCAAGGTACCATCATAATCTTGCAAGGTACCATGCAGTCATCAATGTAGGGTACCGGCCATTTAATCATGGCAAGGTACCAGTTAATACTCAACTCACCCCATTGGTAGCAATGCATGCAGCCATCGATGTGGCGCAGCCGCAAGCGTTACCAACGTAGCCGGGTCTGCACTTGCACGTACTACGCCGCTTCTTCTCGTCACACACGCACTCGCCTCTATTTGGCCCTGTCAAAAAATGGCGGGAAAATAATCAGAAGATCAAGAACCACAATTTAATAAACAATATTTGAAATACACGGAAAGGTGTCAGTAAAAGGTTGGTGCATTTGGCATTATATACATATTCTTTTACTCTAAACGTATAATGCTAACAGTACCTCCACACAATTCCGAATCGTATCGTTCGCACGAGAAATTGTCGCATTCACAATACCGTCCCGAAACGATCTCGTTTCGATCCTAAAAGAATAAAATGGTAGAATATAAATGATAAATCGGTATACTGCTCCTCTGTGTTAATCTACGGAGGGACTATCACCAAATGTAGAACAAAATGATACAAGTGTTGAACTACCATGGGACTCAGTTAGGGTTCTGTCAGTTAGTGTAACTTGATCAACAAAGGTAAGTTCATGTTCACCAAATTCTACCTGTCGCTCAAAACAGACGCACTCCCCACATATACATTCCCCTCGGCCTGAACAGACGACTGAGGATGTTGAATTGATGCTCCTGCGGGAAACCAGGGGAAATATTTGAAACCACACTGAATTAAGTTGTCTTCTTCAACTCCATGAGATAAAATCTTGAGGATATTAAACGTGAAACTAAAGAGGCATTTTCATCGAGAGTAGAGTGCCATGGTTAAAATCTCGTTTTATCGTGTCTGATTCTATATTGACAAGCTACTTTTTCAATATGTATGTATAAGAGTTTTTTCTCTTCAGATCATTGATAACGTGATTGACTTACGCTCTACACGATGCGATGTTCTCGTACTTATCCCCTGCATCGTCAGTGCTGCTACACTCACACTGCTTACCATACCGTCCAGGATCGCACGCACACTGACCACACGATAAGGTGCCGTTACCATTGGTACAGTATTCACTATTAGGAACCTGCGGACGAAAGAGGAATTTCGAATTGTTAAGTCAATCTTTTGTTTGGAGAAATTTGTGTCGAATTACACATTGTATGCGTGTCGGCCTTTCGCAATCTGAAGAGATGATTGCGAAATAACACAGTAGTAGTAGCGACGACAGCAAGTCTTTATTTGACGAGTTAAATCTCGATTTTGATCGAATAATGGCGATTCGGAGTTGGGATCGCGTTAACGATCACTTACCGCTGATGCCTCACACTCGCATTCGCATGCAACTTCGACCGTGATCTCCACAGCTTCGTCGAATCCAATCGGCCGAATGGAGAACCTAATTAGGAATCACGACCCAAATGGGAAGACGGCATGAATCCAATCAATGTCCAAGTACAATAGCGTAAAGATATTTTAGTTGATACCATAGCCAATAAAAAAACAACCTACGAATCAAAATGCTGCATTCGTAGGTAAAACTGCATATGGTGCAAATCTGAAAATTGCCAATTAACAATTAAGACAGACGATTTTGTGGAACGAAATTAAATTACATTTTCAAAGAATGTTCGTACAACTGAGTACCCAGCTAGTATGTTTACTGCAGTAAAATCCACAGGGGCCTCATTGTAAGTATACATGTACTTATAAGACAAAATGTGAAACTTTGTACTGTACTTTTGTGTGTTATTGTCCGGGCAACTCGTAGCCTCCACGCTGACATCAAAGCTGACCGTCTCACCGAGGCGTAGCCCCGTACAGACCTTGGAGTTTGGTCTCGGTGCCTCGTCCAGGCACCGTGACGTGTAACTCACGGCAAGATTCTCCAGGGAATTGTCCACGATCTCCACCCGCGAGGTGATTTTCTGTTGGGCCAATCGATCAGTTTTAAATTAACACTGTGTGACCTTCATATTGAGCAACAATGTCCGTGTCATGACAATTTTCAGATCTGTTAATTTAATGCTGCAACATTGTAGGATACTAGCCTTTCGTTCTCTACATCCTGATGATGTACACATTGCTTTCTGTAGGCCTACACTGCAAACTTGAACGCTTTACATGGGAGTAAAATTTCACAATCTCACATTGAGGAATTGAACTTAAGTACAGTTGTAAGACCGTCCCTGATTATTCAGGGTTATTCAGTACATGTATACTAACAATGAGGCATTTACTCCCTGTTGCTGACCGGATTAAGTACAAACTGTTACTGCTTGTTTTTCATTGCCTTCATGATTCAGCTCCTGAATACAACATAGACCTATTAACTCCATATAATCCATCCAGGCGATTGAGATCTTCTGATGCTTCTTTGCTGGTTGTCCCTCACACTCACAAATCTTGGGGTGATCGATCTTTTTTTCACGCAGGTCCTCATCTTTGGAACAAACTACCCCTCGCCATTCGCAATATCTCATCGCTTTCTGAATTTAAAGTTGCCCTCAAGACCTATTTGTTTCAGACCACTCAGAATATTCTTGTTTAGTTAAATTTAATTGTTTTGTTATTTCTGATTTGATATATTTTTTGTTTGCGCCATGAGCGTCATTTATGGCGGATAATGGCGCGGTATAAATTTCCGTTATTATTATATTATATTCCATTGGTTCACTCAACCTTCACGTGACTATCAAAAACAACTTGATTGGTTTGAGACGTATCCTCACGTGATCATGACTTGCAACTTAATTGGCGTGATAAACCTGGGTTCTTGGATTCTGTAGAAGACAATCCTGGCCATTTTTTCAAAACATGTAAACATTTAAAGTTAAGGTTTGCCTTTTTACCTCATAGTTGTCCTTGATCAACTGGACAACGTTTGAAGAGTCTTGAGCCAGCGTGCCCACAGTCGAACCCTCGATAAACCGAACGAGAGGCTGAACGTGAAGAGGACAAACTTAAAAACAGTTTAGAATGTTCAGTTATCAAAGCAAAGTCTCTACTTATACGTTTTAAATTAACTGGTGTGCAGTTCAACCTTTTGGCGTTGGTTACACTGTTTGCATATGGTTCACAGAATGAAACGGTATAATGCAACCAGCACTTTGTCTAAACAAAGTGTTGACAAATTCAGGTCTGTACGAGAAGGAAAAAAAATGGAAAAGCTATCTTACGTGATAAAAGCCTATTCGTTCGTATGTCACGGCGAAGATCGGAATGACGTTCTGCTCTCTCATTCTGAAGTTCAGGTGCCCAAAAGATGGGTAATCCTATCGTGAAATGAATGAGAACATTACACACTGCCAAGGTAGCTTTCAAGAATACTCTGCACTTTGCCTATATACGGAAATAGGACAGTACTGGTAAAATATATAAGAGAGCTATCACAACAAGCGACATAGCTTATCAAACAAAGTCATCAGGTCTGACGTGCAAAATGTTTGACCTTAACTAATCCATCGAATTTCTCACTATTATGATTCAGAGGGATTCGTTTTATTTTCCTCTAGCTGTTCAAAACGTTCACGCATTACCCCGAGCAGAAAAGAAATCTTACTGCACATAGCACAGTCCTATAAAGCCATTGAGATTACTGTCCTTAGTTGGAGAGAGTCAATTGCAGTAAAGTGACTTGCTCGTGGACACTAATTAAAGGTCTTACATATTCATCAGCCTTGGTGTTGAAGCCCGTGTCTGGGTCGAGATGACACTTCCCATCGTTTGGTTGTACAATGCCGCCAAGCTGAATCAAAAAGTATTGAGAAAGTTCACAAAATGTCATATTTTATGTTTACACGATTTACACAATAGTACATCTCATGAGCTGCACTCATTTTTAGTTTTCCTGAACAGTATAGCCTACAATTGTTTCTAATTTATCCCTTACCTTTCCATCACCTGCAATATGGAACGAGTCATCGCTAGTGTAGACGACGATGTGCCTCGCTCTCGGCAGCCAACCAATCTGATCCTAGCAAATTACAATGTATTACATGTGTATTGTAAACAATAAATTTGGTTTATAAAAATAGAAAATTAAAATGCTATACTTGGTTTTTGAAATTATTACAGTGAATGGAAATAACTACTTTCTTTGATTTATTTTATTTTAGCGGAAGTCATTGAGTTTTAATGATTGACTGACATACATTTATAACAATTTGACATAATTTCAGTGGGTTATGACTTTTAATGACCTTCAGTGACGTCACCTACTTTACATACTGTGACCTGCATGAGGGCGTCAAGACCAGCCTCGGGATGATCCGCGTTTTTGGAAACGTTTTTGATTTCGCTGACTCTTTGCTGAACAAACAATGGAACAATCAACAGTATTTAAAGCTTTTGTCTTGATTTCAAAATAACTTTGCACAAATGCACGTAATACTTTAAAATGAGGGAATTGGGTTACCAGCCAATACTGCCCCACAATGTGCAGTGCTGGTGGCTTGTTCTCGACTTGTTTTGTTTGCGAATTGCTTGAACTTAAATACAGTTCAATTATAATAGCCAATTGACACAGTTTATAAAATAGCCGTTCATGAAAACTTCGTTAAGTATGACGGCATTTTACTTCACAGCAAGGACCAATTTTCTCACCGAGAATAAGTCTGTATTGTTGTCTAGGGGGAGATGGTTTCTGAAGTTATACGGAGCCTCACAACCAGGACATGGCTCTCTAAGACTATGGAATAAAAAAAAGGGAAGAAGACAATGCAATGGAAGAAAAACTAGAGGTTTTGCTTCAACGTTTATGTAAAGGAAGACTGTAGTTATGTCAGGCAAACATAAAATTATGTAAAAAGACATTGCCAGATCGAACCGAGTTCCAACCATAGAGCTATATTAAATGTAATACAGCTCAGGTTCCAACTTTTGGGGTAAAGTTTTGTATGAGAAGCAAAAGTTGAGGGAAATAAAGAACAGGGGATAAAGGCTTTCCCTTGAGGGTAAGCCTTTCATTTTCTTTGATATTGTTCATGTCGTTTACACATTAATTGACACTGCATAATTCTAAATCAATTCCGACAATTTTAAGTGAGCATAGTTCACCTTCCAATTGCAGTGTCGACGAAGGGCGCCACCGTTTTCTCGACGAATGAACCGAAGCCTAGACGAAAGTTTCTGGTGATGTTCCCTATCTCTTGCGCTGCAAAAATACAAGGAAAGGTAGGTTTTGTCTTGACATTCTTGTTTTAACTGTCGATATTCTTGTCGACATTTTGTTTGTCTACCATTGGTAGATTCGGAACCAGATTTGTTTCAACTCGCGCATCTACAGCCGAATTGAATCGTTAAACATGGTTGAATGCTAAACGCACCTAAGCGTGCACACGAGGGTCCTTCACTATCAGTAATGTGTTGCATTGTTACCGTTGAGGGCGTATATGCGTGGGATCCGTACCTAATGTTGTAGCCAGTGTTTTCAACCTGTTCAAGTCGTCGCCCATGGATTTGCTCAGGTCCATGACGTAGTACAGATCCACTGGGTAGTCTCTCGCTTGCCGTACCGATACTGTCAAATTTGCTGTTTCCTCTACACGAAACAGACAAAACCGAATAATAGTATAAATTAATCAAAAGTAATCGATTATTTAATCAGGTATCTCAAACATTCTTTTCATTGATATTTCAATGCAAAGCTGATGAAATTTAAAAAAAAAAAATTCAAAGCAATCATTAAAACACAATGCAACTGCCAAAAGATATAAAAGTACTTTGTCAAGAATTTGGCGTCCATAACGCATTATTTTCGAATGAAATATCTAAAAAACAAAAAAAAACCAAGCAAACAAACATAGGCTTGAACATCATATTCCTTACAATATTTAATACAATCAAAGAATAAATCTCGATACAAATATATCTTGTGTCATACTCATAAGAATCATGCTCACAGAAGCAGAAAATACACGGCTCATTCTTGATATTCTGCGGTGTTAAGGCGAACGGCTCATTATAATCATTGAAAAATATATCAAAGCTAAGGAGTCACAATGTCATGAGGTCCAGACACAAAAATATGAACGTCTTGTGCTGTCTCCCTGAGTGCCCCTTAACAACGTTAAAGGCTCTATTTGGTTATTTTTGGCTCCCTTCCTTAACTGTTCGTTGTTGAAAATTTACTTAGTGGTATTCTCATTATTCACATTTCTTTTACGTTAAAAACTGAATAGGCCCTATACGTAGAAATGATGCAACAGAGGCAGATAACCTCGGGTTTTGCTCCGAAGAAAAAAATAGATATTTGTTAAACAGAAATTCATGTAACAGTTCTTGGTGCTCAAAATGCATCAAGGAATTATATTTCTAAGCGAGGTAAGCACTGATGTAGCACAGTCTGACACCTTCCTTGTCCAACATGTACAATCAATTTGAGGGGTACAATCTAAAATCCCCATCTCATGAATACGGCCCACGTCCATCTGCCTAGATTAAGTGGGCCACGGCGCCCAACTTACTTGGCCGTAATTTTAACGTGATCCTCTGGGGCGCCACTTGCACGGCTTCCATTGGCCCTTCACCGGCGTCGCTTAAAGGATCATTCTGTGGAGTAGATAAGTGATGAAGGAGTTACCAATCGAACGGAACATTGGATTTATTCAGACTTACCTGTTCATTGCACAAACTCTGGTGCACTGTACACTGCACATAACACAAACTGTGTAAGTAACATGTGTATCGGTGGACTATAGATTTTCCCTACCTTTGTGTCGCAATAAGAGTAATTTTACGTACGGTGGACAGCGGCCAGTTCGAAATATATTGGCGTGATCTTTCTGCAAGTCTTGCTAGAATAACCAAAATGACTTCATTATTTCAGAGTCAATTTGTAGAGTAACTTACCTGTATAACTCCTACAACGCTATCAGGGAATGTAATATCTTGACAAGTCCTGTTCATCAAGTTGGCATGTAAATCACATCTTTGAAAGTTTGTCTCCTCTGCATAACCCTAAAGTTGAAAATAAGATAAAACCAAAGGCTGCTTTACACAGTTTATTACAAACAAAACAAGCAGGGTGGGCTCGAACCCAAAACCATATTCTTATTAGTGCAGCTGTCTTTTATTACTGCAGTTTCAATTGTGTTGGTAATTCCTTGTGCCAATTCGAATCTCATTGGTACACCATTAATTATATCTGAAAAGTTTGTTTCCCAGAAGAAAAAAAGGTTTTCGGGTGTGTCCTTAACTAGATGAGCTTGCTGATTGCTGAGTTTTTTAAAAGTCTATAAAGAGGAACAAGAGAAACCAATAACATGGAAATACCGTTAAATATAACACCAAGTGGATCATGGAACCATTCGGCAGGTGAGCTTTATAAGAGATACTGCATGGTGTCAATTTAACACCATAATAGTAGTGTAGGATTTCAGACACGGACCTGATCCCCGCACCAGCCACACATTGGATCCAGTGCGATACACTCCCGGCAAGTCCTTGCCGCTGAGCAGATGTTATCCTCTAAGTCTTGGGGATCGATAGGCGGTGGCTCTGTAACTGCTTCAAAAAAGGAACCAAAACAGTTTAGTGAGTATGCATACTAGGCAAGGAAACAAATGCATGTATTAAAGGTGTAATAACAACACTAAAATCCAAAGACGAATGCTCGAAAACCTAACCTGGTGTTGAAGTGTCAGCTCAGTTGATTTTACACTATTCTAGAAAACAGTGAAAACTATGCACAACCTTTTGATCATTATAGCTCGATCTTTATTCCAAAAATGGCAATCACCTACATTTCACGATTTCTTTTAAATTACAGCAAGCCAAATGGAATAATTTCACGGTGTGTTTAGTATACCAGTAGGATCTTCAATCAAACTAAGCTTTTTGATAATATTTCGGTAGGTTACTTTTGGGGTAAATACAAGTGGTCCTAAATGACGTCACTGACGTATAATTAACTTTTAATTTTTTTATTAGTGAGCTGTCCAACCATATGTAATTGCATTTTTATGGATAAATAAAGTATTTTGCATGGAATTGAATATGCCTAATAAACTATGCTAGAGGAGAAGGCTTTGTTATGGGCTCCGTGCGCCGACGAAAGAGGGCGCCCTTTTACCTAGCAACGACGTCCCATGGGCGGGACATTTCGCTGGTTGACGCGCACCGTTCCTTGTGTGTGACGCACGTACACCAGGGGATTTGTACTTTGTAGGCCTACACCATTGATCTCATGGAGATCAATGGCCTACGGGTGCAGACCAGTAAATCGGTCCGAAATTGCCTGCGCCGGCCAAATCACGATTTGCATGCCCTCAAAATCTTCGGTATTTGGGCATGCTTTGGGCCATGAACTTGAGGGTTTGTAAAAAATATGGATGGAAGCCGTGCACAGGACTGGGAGCTTGCAGTTCTGTGTAATTTTGATGTAATTTGGACCCTAAAAGCGCTCTATTTTGCAATGGAGTGTAGGCATCGTTTTTCAAAATGGCGATGGGCTTCAGTACTATTTTCAGGGGTGATCATCTTCAGATGGAAATTTCCCCTAAAAGTCATCAGTTGACTCCCCGAAAATTGAAAAGAAAATGAAAGATGATGAAATAAGCTTAAATTTGATGTGCGTCTCGAACACCTTGGAGAGTTGTGAGTATTTTTCCCGAATTTTTGAAGTGGGAGCATTTACCATTGGGGTCTATGGAAGTTTATTTACTGGTCTGCTACCTGTAGTTTCAAAATGGCGCCTTCCATCGTTTGTTGTCAAATGTTTGCGGAGTGTTTTTTTTTCAGGGGGGCGGAACCGGGGGGGGGGGGCAGCGTTTCAAAACCGGGTCACCAATGGCGGTTCCGCAACAAATGCGCCCAAAATCTGAATAGGGCCGATGGACCGTCGTCCGATCACAGCAATTTCGAGCGAACAAGGGGGGGGGGGGAATTTGGGGTCGGAAAGAGCAAAAACTCAATTAATGCCCGTTGGGGACGCCCTACAGTAAGGAAGCCGCAAACAGAGGGCTTGTTTTCAGGCCAGAAATCGCAGTCAGAGATTTTTTTCTTGCAATCTTTGGATGAAATATGAGTCATCCATCCTTCCTCGTGCCGTACAAGTGGTTTGGGGAAATTTTTCAAAACCTCGCTTCTCTATAGGGTGCAGACCAGTAAATCGGTCCGAAATTGCCTGCGCCGGCCAAATCACGATTTGCATGCCCTCAAAATCTTCGGTATTTGGGCATGCTTTGGGCCATGAACTTGAGGGTTTGTAAAAAATATGGGTGGAAGCCGTGCACAGGACTGGGAGCTTGCAGTTCTGTGTAATTTTGATGTAATTTGGACCCTAAAAGCGCTCTATTTTGCAATGGAGTGTAGGCATCGTTTTTCAAAATGGCGATGGGCTTCAGTACTATTTTCAGGGGTGATCATCTTCAGATGGAAATTTCCCCTAAAAGTCATCAGTTGACCCCCAAAAATTGAAAAGAAAATGAAAGATGATGAAATAAGCTTAAATTTGATGTGCGTCTCGAGCACCTTGGAGAGTTGTGAGTATTTTTCCCGAATTTTTGAAGTGGGAGCATTTACCATTGGGGTCTATGGAAGTTTATTTACTGGTCTGCTACCTACACGTAGTGGCCGCGCTTCGCGGCAAATGAATTACAGTCAGGCAAGATGGCGTCGGTCGGTCATGACCCCCAACTCTTCCTTCTTTGCCGGTGATGAGGGGGTACTTGTGAACGGAGCGGATACGGGGGCGGGGATGGGATCTTCGCCCCAACACATGCACATATATTCCTAGCTCCTCCAAATTTAATCAGTTCCTGATATTCTGCTGTTATTAAGAATCATTTGTTATCGGAATGTTGTTCATAATTTAAAAGTTGAACAATGTAATCACATTGTACATTGACCGGAGCGGAAATTGAACTTGCGACCTCTGGATTGCCGTTCCGGATCTCTGCCAACTGAGCTATCCAGCCCTATGTCGGCGGTGTGTCGTAATGGGTGGTTTTTGGGGTTTTTTTGGTTGCCTTTTTCCCCCACGCGAGTAATCAACGTTCCAAATTTCCGGGAAAATACCGATAGTCCAAAAATGAAAGTTTTATAACCGCTATTACCTTTCTGTACTACAGAGCCAAGTCATGGATTGGATGGGGAAATATAAAACTAATACACTTGTTTTCTATAATACAGGGTGAGTCAAGAAAATGAAACCCAAAACGAAAACGAAAAAAACAACCAAATCAAATAAGGATGTGTGTGAATGGTTTTCGTTTTGCTGATTTCACACACACCTTTTTTGTGATCCGTGGACAGAACTTTAAAACAGTGGTGTGGTTAAACTCAGTATAACTTGAAAAGTACATAAGTGATTTGAATGAATCTTGTACTAAAAGAAAGCTTATGAAGTGGGCTTTTATATCCTATATTTTAAAAGTGCTACATGCAGAACTTCACTAAAACAATGGTCCCGACATTTGGATTTTGTTGTTTGTTTGTTTTTACTCACCCTGTACAAGTTGTTTTGGTCTGTTTGCAGTTTCCTGCTTCCTCGTGTGACAAGGCGTGTTTTGTGTTGGAAAATATATGGTATTTTTTTACGTCGGCCAACTGCTGTGTTGACTAACACAGGAAATAGCCAAGATAAATCGAATTTATGTTCCTTTTTTTCGGCTTGAAAGGGAATAATACAACATTTGCTTTTGCTGTATTTATTATCAGAAATGGATGGATACGGGGGTTAGTATTTTATAGTAAATATTAAGTTACACTGACTTGTTTGAAGTTTTGTGTTCATAGATGCTGGAAAAACAAAGCAAAGAATCATGTTCCTGTAGTCTGGTTCCCTGACCCCACTTTAGATGAAACGGAGCAATAGACGTCGGGGAATTTTGTAAGGTCAGGGAACCAGTCTAGCTTGCTTGTACCCGTTCATAGGTTTGTAATCGATTGCAAGTAAAATGCGGACTGACAAAATATGGTAAATTTTGGGCAGTATTTGAAAAAAAAAACAGTATTATTTTTCAACGCTGGCCGGGCGACCAGGGTTGAAAATTGATACAAAATACCTCTTTTCTAATGAACAGCACACCAGGTGCCTTGGTTTTGCAGGAAGCTTTATACTGTCATTCACTAACACAGTTCAGTAAGGTATTTCATAATAATTTGGTGGTATATTTCTTCAGTTGTTGGTTCTTACGAATTAAAATTACATATGTCATTTTATAAAACTATATAGGACCATATTTTTGGAAAACAAAAGTGGAACTGAAAAAATCCTAGAGTTATGAAACCGATAGAGGAATCCCATAAAAAAAACCCAGAAATGTACGGCCTTTGGAACGAAAGCCAGATTTTTCTTCAAAAATCAGGAACTTTACTGACAGTGACACATTTTGAAAATGTATTCCCAAGTCAAGTTTAATGCATTTACATACTTACATATTACTCTTTCTAAATGGCAATCCGTTTTCAGAATGAAACTTAAGGCTACCATAATCCTAAAGTAGCCACATTTCGAATCGATCGTTTTCCATCCAAACCTAAAAATATAAGGATATCGAAACTTTAAACGAATAGATATACATGTATGTATCTTCATTTTAAATCCTGGTTTGAAATTTTGATATTCCACAGATAGTAAGCTAGCGCTCTTGCTAAAAACAGACTAAAACCAACTATTATAGACTACATAAAATCTCACCTTGTACACTGCACATCGTTGATAGCAAACTTATTAGCACCATGGTGGCCCATCTTAAATGTCTGTATCTGTACCGCCCGTCCATGTCTGCTGACAGTTTGGCCGGCAGTTCCTTTCTCTCCGGGGGACTGTCAAAATAATCACATGTTCATCAATGATTATGCGGTTCAGTTTCATCTATTCGGCTAAAGAACCTAAATAATGACAATTCAGAGAGAGAGAGAAGGTGACTGGAATGGATGTTAATAGGGACGCAGTTTGAAGATTTTGGACCATTCGGTACATATTTCCAGTCTATTGTCCTATTTGGAGCCCGATCATTGTTCAGTAATGTTTATATTCCATATAATTTTGATATCGTTATGGAACTATTTTTTATCCAGCCGGTTTGTGCCAATTCAGTACGACAAATTGTTGACATATTTTTTTACTTTTGTTGCCCAACTCTGTTTTTTTGTGATTTTTTTTCCCGGTTGAACTAATAATAATACATGTAATAAATATTTGTTACGAGAAATGGGTCATTTGGGAGACATTCCCATATTCTTGTGCACAAAATGTTTCCATCTTTGATGTCACCTAACCCCAATTTTACCATATCCTACCCCCACGAATTTGGGTACATTTACGTTTTGGACCACGAGCGATCGATCTCTAGCCTATTTGCGACGGTAAAATTTTGCCTTAAATAGGAGCTGTGACATTAATGAAGTGTCTCCCTAATGTCCGGTACCCCCCCCCCCAAGGTGTAATTTATGACGACAAAACGTCCCCTTTAAGTAATGTAATAATAATACTTAATCGAAAAGGACAAACATTTTTGGAATAAAAGCAGTTTTGGGTGTTTTTTCCCCAAAACTATTCATTAAAACAAACTGAACCTGTGTGGCTGTTTAACTATTTTGTCTCCTGTGTCCTTACAAGGAAGTGAAACTGACATTTTATAACATGCTTTGTTTCATAGTTAATCCAAATAGAGCTGCATGCTGCGTTTTATGCCTTATCACAAAATTTCAAATTGAGTATTGCTGAATTTGTTGCCTTAGTCTTAGAGTTTATGACAATTTATGAAGCAAGTGTCTCAGTAAGACAAGACCCCTTCCACCCAAAAGACGACATTCCAATGGTTACTTGTTATTTTTATGTAGTAAGCGTAACAGTGCGCGACTCTGCCCCTGGTCGTTCATCACTTATCTTCAGTCGATAGCAAGATGCACCGAAAGCTACGATGCGTACAGCAGTACATGTTATTATACTAAACACGATAAATTCATGTGAACCAAAACCGCGCTCCCAGATCCTGTTCATCATGCAAGAAAGAAGTTCAAGGACAGAGGAAAGGAAAATGCGGCATCGTGGTTGGTTCTGTTGGCCTTGAAGTCTTGGATCCTCTTCAACCGGATGCTCCGGAAACTGTAAGCCTACTTGGAAGTTCATCAAGGAAGCAAATGACTTCTACATTTTAACATGCACATAATTATTTCAAGTTGTCCACCCTCACTCACGTCTACACTCAATTTTTTTTCTTTTACGCGAAATCCAGTGAATTAATTAGCCGAAAAAGTGATTATTTTTGATCAGGAGTGGTTAACTTAAGGTGCTCACTGAAGCACCATTTTGCCGTATAGAGGAACGGACTTTGTTCTGGAAACCATTATTGTTCACCCAAAGAATAGCATAGTCTTGGATGGGTAGTTGTTTGTCAGTTTTCGAGAATGAATTCATTGCTATAATCATTCATTTCCTCAATCACATATATCCTCTCACTTTCTGTATCCAACGGCCTTTTGCCCAGTAATGCTACATAGGTTTGTGCAGTGGGACATTAATCCATTGACCACAGTGGTTTAGCGTGCTTCTACACAAACAGGGTTGCTGTGTATAATCTGTAAGATTGTACCAGTGATCGGACGTGTGTTTATAAACAAATTATCGACAAAGCGATCACAGTATAGATTTACGCAATTCCTTGCACTCGTTCGCTGGATATACTGTGTACAGAGATATTTAGTTTCAGGAAACCTGAGGAGGAAATCGTACTGTACCATAATAACTTAATAACGCAGAACAATGTAACTGCATGATCACGAGCACATTTAACAGTTGTTGACTAGTGTGATGTGGGATATGACGTTTCGAATACCCGAGGGGCGCATAGCACCCGAGCGCCCCTTGTTATACCTATGTCTTGCATTTTTTTTTGACTTAAAAATCACGAAAACAAACAGCAGTTAACACAACTATGACACGACGTCAACTCATATGCATGTCACGTGCTCGAAACAGCTGAATGTCTGCAAGTTCGCTGCGTTTTACGTGTGAAACGCGTACGCGTACGCGTACGTACCGTTCGCACAAAGTCATAGCCATTGATCTCCATATACACAGGAGATCAATGTATATATGGAGATCAATGCTTTATCCGTTATCCAGTCTTTATATAGAGATCAGTGGATAGTCTGCAAGTTCGCTTACGCTTACGTACCGTTCGCACAAAGTCATAGCACACTCCCTGTGGAATATCCATTGATCTCCATTAGTAAGACCACGTACGTGATATCCCACAGGGAGTGTGCTATGACTTTTTATAAACTAAACACTTGATCGTTCTAGGCCAATGAAAATACAGTATTCAAGACGGAGGTATAACAATAGATATTGAGCAAGACAATCTATCACCTACCTTTAACTGCCGATGGAGACTATTGTGGTAGCGCCCAAGTTACCGTTTTAATTCCTCTGTCACTTCGCGTGGTCTTGTTCTAGCGACTATACTAATTCTTGCCTAAAAAAAACTCGCTAGATTGCCTCGTCGATGTGAGTGTTCTTGTCTGACGATGTCGGCAGAGATTATGGTTCTAATCCGAAAATGATACAGAACAATAAAATAGATCCTACTTCCTCCGTACCAAGCCTGTGTGTGCTTGCAGTCAGCATGCGCAGTGTTAGGAAGAGTGCTTCGTTTATTTCCAGCGTATGCTGGACTACGTTTTGGCGGCCCTTGACCTGGTACATGATTCTGACATCACAGCCATGACGTGAAACATGTTTCCGACGCTTGAATGAGTGGGTGGGGCCAGGCTGGATAGGAAGGGGGGATGAGGAAAGTGACAAAGTATTAGATAATTTTTCGTCCAGTACACGGTTACACGGTCTGAATTATAAAACGCACATAAAAACAGGATTGTATAAACATCTTTTAATTAGCAATCTAAACAGTACAAAATCCATAAAATATGAAATGTTGACTTTAGTAAGAACTGATTAAAGCTATTTACTACTACAATTACAGTCTTGAAACAAAGCCCCGAAACGGAATTAGGTATAATAATAAATTGTGTTTTAACTATATGTGTTACATTAATCAGTTGTGAGGAATCGGTCATTTAAAACCCACATAAAACACTGGAAGTGTGTATGATGCTCTAAAATGGTAATATTTCAATTCGTTAAAATTGCTTAGATTACAGCTGAAATCCCAAGCCTCTACGTCATAGACATATTTAAATAAAGTCAACATTACGTTGATCCAAAATTTAACAAAGCAACAATTAGTCTTCGAACTACGGGATATATGCTCTCTTCGTTTGTTTCACACACAAATTCCGCCAACAACGCAGCACGCCCTCTATTATGAACAATGAGGTGGGCGCACGTGACCACGTGCATTTTAACAACCGTCTGTGTTTTGTAAAACCTTCGGACGCTGCGACATTGCAATTCACCTTGTCAATCCTCTAAACAAAACTGACAGTCATACTGACAACAGGAAGACACACGAACAAAGAAGCAAACAAGCAAACAAACAAACAAACAGATATAGATCACAACACCAATTCACGCACACAATTAAAACTAGGCACATGTATGTATTGAACACTTGCGTCGTTGCTCTCTATTAAAAACTATTCTCCAAACATGCTAAAGCTTTCGAAGGCTGGCCCGGTGTTGTTTAACGCACAATCGTGACTCCGTATAACCCACTAAATTACGTGAGTTCAATAAGGTGCACGGTTTTGTTGTTGTTCCTCCTTCAGTTCACATATGCTCTCCTCTTAATCAATGTTCTTTTGTGCTAATTATCTACAATCTATCTTCAAAATACTCAAAATATTGGCACTAAGCGCTTTGGTCAAATCTGTACACTTTTCAAAGTATCCTCAAAGCTATATACATTAGAGCGCCCTCTGTTGATCAAGGCATAACCACGCAAATAATTATTTCAGCTGAATGGCTCGGGTCGGCCCATTGGTCATCTCAACAATGCTGCTGCAGATTTATGTTTTGAATTATGTGCACAACTTGTCCGTGAGGTCAAAAGAGGGCGCTAAGCTTAAAATGGTTCCGTCGATAAAAATGAAAGATTAAAGAAGTATCAGCATTTTTACAAGAAGTAGGCCTAGATGCCATGTTTCTGTAACGCATTAGTCATTTCAAAGTACTACATCAGCAATATTAAAATAAAATACCTAACATGGCAAGAACAATAATTTGCTTGGACAAATAATTTACATGGATTAATATGGGTAGAAAATATGAGTGGAAAAAAATGTCTCGCTCATTGGTCGCTTTTGTCACGTATCCCATTGAAGGGTAAAATCAATCTTTGTTGGTTTATAACTCTCACGGTTTTGGTTTAATATACAAAAGCATTGTCTTTTTTCTTTACAAAATTTAGTTCAGAACTGCATAGAGCTTAATTAAATAGTCAGGTACTCGGTGGTAAACTGCATCACTAAGCAATTTTACATAGTAGAACGCGCGTGTCTAACCCTTTATGTTAACACTAAATGGTACCCTCGGTTGGTGGTGTCCGTGCTTCACGCTATTTCCCATATAATGGGTTGACATAAGTAGACGTCGACGGCTTGTAGATAGGGTTTTGCGCCTGACGAAAAATAAAAAAGATTATCAATTATTTAGGAAGACTGTACAGCACGATTAATACATACAACTATACAGGCCCTCTCGCACATGTACACCAGACGCTACGAATTTGTGCACAACCAATCGAGTATGCACGCGCGCGCTAAATTCCAGACGCCTGCGTGAAGTGCGCGCACGCACCATGCCCTATTTTTATTGGCTGTTGTGCGTTAACCACGCCTTGCCTTTTTATCTATATCTTTATTAAGAGTTTGCATTTCGAGTGAATGAATCTTTGATTCTATCCCTTACCTGATCTCAGACTGCCGACTTCTGCTCTTTCTGGAAGCGCGCAAACTCCCTCTTATCGTGCAAGAAAGTAGCCGCTCTCAGGAGTGCCAGGAGTACAAGGCCTATCAGTACGATGGCAACTACTGTGCAGATGACAAAGATAAATATCACGCTGCCTGAAGCATCTTTCTCAACAACAGGGCCATCGCCGTCGTTTCCTCCACTCCCAGAATCACCTCCACACTCTGGTTTAAAAAAAGGTAAGTAAAATAACTCCGCCATTATCGTGTTATAAAGCTCTTTTTATCTTAACCCTTGTGATATTCTGTTAATTGGAATTATTATAGAAACGTTAAAGCTTTTGTGAAAACTTTCTTTTTACCTCCTGGTTCTACCAAGTGAACTAGTATGGTGCCGTTGCTGAGTGTCTTGTACACGAAGCTGTACGTCTTGGAGCATTTGCTGTGGCTTTCGGGTACAGGGAACACGCACAGACTGGATCCGTTTACTGTAGCATTGATTGAAACGGTACAATGTCAAAAATCACATACTTGCAACATCAAAAAGCTTTTGAAAAAATGTTTTGAAAAAGTATAGATATGTAACATTTGGGATTTTATCAAGAAACATTTAAGTCATTTACGGTAGGAAAATATCATACCAGCAGAATTGCAAGGAATACTTCAGGGACCATGACAAATCGGAAATGCATGACTCTGTAACTCGCAAACAACGTTTATTTGTCTACAAAGATGCTCATAGTTTCTTGCAATCACTTTAAATCTCACGTAAAATGGGTTTCAGAAGGTCCTGTAAAAGTAAAGGTGAAACGCGGATGCATGATGAAAAGTTCCTATCGTTCGAAATCTGAAAAAATCCTGCGCCAGACAAAATGTAGTTCTAGCAAAATGTGTCATTCTAATTGTGTCAATTCTATTAATTTTTTGTTCATAAACCCATTAACAGTTATGTTTTTTTCCCGTGATGAAATACACTAAGGCACCAACTACACTGAAAAAAATAAACCACCACCTACTCGTTGGTAAGTCCCTCTCGATCACCACAGCCACGTTGCACTTGTTACAATCCGCGGGTGAGATATCTACACCGTAGACCTGACACTCCACACAGGGTCGGTAGGACGAACATTTGCCGATACAAATCTAGGAAGAAAATGATAAACAAAATTAAATCGGGAAGTTTATACCAAAATCAAATCAATTTAATATGCCCAACTCAAATCAGTTTATACCAAATTCAAATCAATTTATATCAAACTCAAATCAGTTTATACCAAACTCAAATCAGATTATACCAAACTAAAATCAGTTTATATCAAACTCAAATCAGTTTATACTAAACTCAAATCATTTTTTACCAAACTGAAATCAGTTGATACCAACATTAAATTGTTTATACCAAAATCAAATCAGTTTATACCATAATGAAATCAGTTGATACCAAAACTAAATCGTTTATACCAAAAATAAACAGCTTATAATAAAATCAAATCAGTTTATACCAAAACTAAAGCAGTTAATACCAAATTCAAATCAGTTTATATCAAAGAAGCAATCACGCCAAGCTGATAAATACTCACATGCATGGACAACCTATTAGAAACAAGATCTCACCACACGCACGGAACGACAAACGTTTTTCGAATTGTATTTATTCGTGCAAAATAGGGGCTTTCACAGAGACACACGTTGGTTGAGTAAAGATTAATTTCTGAAAAATTTAAGTCATTGCAAGAACATTTTTCGTGTCAAAAGCATTAGGCAAATTGACTTCTGGAGGATAATAATATAAGAAAGGATACTCCCAGGCACCAACCTTACAGACTTCACACGTTTCGCCTTGGAATGGCGACTCACAGGTACACTTGTTGCAGTTGCACCGTCCTCTCCCATTACATATAAGCTGAAACAAAGGATCAAACAAGACGTTTTGAAAAGACAGAAGATTGACAAGTGAATAAGTACTTATATTCTTGAGTAGAATTTGTAAGAGAGTCATGCCAAGAAGGACATTATAGATGCTCATACTGTGCAAAGAGAAAACATGCAATTTTCCAAAATCCTTTCCGATTTTTAAAACAAATTCCAGTCACTTAAAAACCTCACTCAAATCATGCCTCTCAGGCAGTTGTTCAGGCAGGGAACCAGTTAACTAGAGAGGGTACCAGTCAACCAGCATAGTACCAGTCAACCAGCAAGGTACCAGTCAGCTAGCAGGGTGCCATGCAGTCATCAATGTAGAGTATCATTTAATCATTGCAGGGTACCAGTTAATACTCAACTCACCCCATTGGAAGCAATGCATGCAGCTGTTGACGTGGCGCAGCCGCAAGCGTTACCAACGTAGCCGGGTCTGCACTTGCACGCACTACGCCTCTTCTTCTCGTCACACACACACTCGCCTCTATCTGGCCCTGTCAAAAAAAATGGCGGGCAAAAAATCAGACGATCAAGAACCACAATTAAATAAGTGATATTTATAAGAAATATTTGAAATACACGGAAATGTTCAATAAAACTTTGGTACATTTAGCATTAAGCGTCTTCGGTTTTTATGTATAAGGCTTACCTCCGCACAATTCTGAATCGTATCGTTCGCACGAGAAATTGTCGCATTCACAATACCGTCCCGAAATGATCTCGTTGCGATTCTGAAAATATATAAGACAGATTTAACAAATCGTAATAAATTTCCTCCCTTGTTTGCCTCGGAGCAAGAACTGACTAAACGATGTATTATGATATAGTCCACGGGAACAGTACACGGGATGTGGGCTCGAAAGACGAGTACGTATTTGCTTCAACTTGGTCAGTATGATTGACACAGGCTCTCGCCAATTGGGGCTTTAGGGGCAAGGTGGTATTGTAGGAACACAGATCACTCAGTGTATGTTAACCTTACCTGGCGTTCGAAACAGGCACACTCCCCGCATATACATTCACCTCGGCCCGAGCACACGATGGAAGATGTCGAATTGGTGTTCCTATGAGGAAACAAGTCAAGCAGTTTGAAAATACACCGAAGTTGTAATCTCCCGAAGTTGTAATTTCAATATGCGTGGTGTGAGAGTGCCCTCAAGAGGCTGTGCGTAAGAGGTTTTTTTTTCAGACCAAAGAGAGATGATTGACTTACGCTCTACACGATGCGACGTTCTCGTACTTATCCCTGAATGGCGTGCCTGCATCGTCAGTGCTGCTGCACTCACACTGCTTACCATACCGTCCAGGATCGCACGCACACTGACCACACGATAAGGTGCCGTTACCATTCGTACAGTACTCACTATTAGGAACCTGCAGACGAGAGAGGAATTTCAAATTTTTGAGTCATTCCCTTGTTTTGAGAAAACATTGTGTCGAATTACTCATTCCATGCGTGTTATGTCGGCCTTTCGCAATCTGAAGAGGTGATTGCGAAATAACACAGTAACCTATAGTGAGACTCCAACAAACGTTTTTTTGGCGAGTGAAATCTCGATTTTGGAACGCGTCAATGATGTTCTTACCGCTGATGCCTCACACTCGCACTCGCAGGCAACTTCGACCGTGATCTCTATAGATTCGTCGAATCCAATCGGCCCAATGAAGAACCTAACTAGGAATAACGACCCAAATGGGAATACGGCATGAATCGAATCAATTTCAACGTACAAAAGGGTACATATATATTTTGTCGATACTTAGACAATAACTTAAATTGCAAAAGACGGAATGGCCTTTTTAATATAAGCATACACCTATTTCATTAGACGAATTTGCCGAAGCATTTGATACAAATTTGACATTGAAACTGGCAATTATAAAGCCCTACGATTTGGTGGAACGAAATTAAAGTACACTTCCTTTGAATTTGGTACAACGGTAAGAGTAATCGGTAACACCTATATAAGTATAGCTATAAGAGAGAAAAAAGTGTAAACTTCAGCTTTGTACTTTACTCGCAGCTCAGTTTGAACAAATATGAGCTTTGTAGCATACTTTTGTATGTTATTGTCCGGGTAACTCGTAGCCTCCACGCTGACATCAAAGCTGACCGTCTCACCGAGGCGTAGCCCCGTACAGACCTTGGAGTTTGGTCTCGGTGCCTCGTCCAGGCACCGTGAGGTGTAACTCACGGCAAGATTCTCCGGGGAATTGTCCACGATCTCCACCCGCGATGTGATTTTCTGTTGGGGCAATCGATCACAGTTAGATTAACACTGTGCGATCTTTATATTGAGCAGCCATTCCGTGTAATTCCCAGACGGTGTTAGTTAAACACTCGGACACTGTAGGATACTATAGCCTTTCGTTATCAGGATTTATCACATTGACACATCCTGATGATGTACATGTTGCTATTTGTACACTGCAAACTCATGTACATGTATTACTGTACTTGAACTTCCGTGATTATTCTATTAGTTCACTTAACCCTCACGTGACTATCAGAAACAAATTCATTGGTCTAAGACGTATCCTCACGTGACCACGAGATATAACTTGATTTGTATGACTTACTATCTCTCTGTAAAACACAACCTTGTATTCTTTTTCAAATATGTAAACTTTTTTAAGCTTTACATTTTTACCTCATAGTTGTCCTGGATCAATTGGACAACATTTGAAGAATCTTGAGCCAGCGTGTCCACAGTCGAGCCCTCGATAAACCGAGCGAGAGTCTGTACGTGAAGAGGACATAATTAAAAACAATTTAGAATGTTCAGTTATTAAAGCAGATGTCTCTTCTACGTTTTAGATTCGCATTAATATCTGGTGTAGTATATAGTTTTACCTTTTGGCGTTGGTTACACTGTTTGCATAGTTCACAAAATGAATCAGTTAACATTCACACAGCACTGAGGGTGATAGGAACCGTGGGCCCTCTGGTCTAACCGCTCCTATCCTGATAATGAAGCGATTTTGAACGAACCCGTTTTTGCCAAAAACTGTTGGCAAAGTCAGGTCTGTACAAAGTAAACATGGAAAAAACTGCCTTATAATTACCTGATATAAGCTCATTTGTTTGGCCGTCACGGCGAAGATTGGAATGACGTTCTGCTCTCTCATTCTGACGTTCAGGTGCCCGATAGATGGGTAATCCTATCGTGAAATGAAA